CAATTTCCCACTCTATATGTATAGAACTTTGTGTCCTGGGTGCTTTTAGCTTGTAGATAATCACTTTTATCCGTACAAATTCAATAAAAAACACTTTGTGTAACATGTGTTACATATTTTGCGATAAATAAAATATTTGTAGGGTTAATTAGAAATGCTTCTTTTCATTTTATTATTGTTGTTATTGTTCCGAACAATGCCACACACAAAAAAACCCGGAAAATATTAGAATTGACGAAAATTCAATTTTTTGGTATTTTTTCCAAAAAAGTCCCCAAACTATCGGAATGTTTAGATTTTCATAAAATCAACTCGACATAGTTGCATAACAATTATATGAAAGTTTCAACGAATTTTGCTGGTTAATTGCGAAAGTGTGGAGCCATCTTAACTGGACCTGCAGCTCCTTAAATTGACACTGCATGTCCGTCACTGCGTCTTCCTGTCTATTAAGCCTAACTGCCTGTGACGAGGTTGATCAGATGGGCATGATGACTGCACCTCTACGGGAGCGGTGATCAATATTATCCCCGTGATAACCCCATCACATAGCCATTTCTGCCAGTTTTCCATGCCTGTCCTCTAAATAGACACCAGTTTCTGTAGAGTGAGATCGCTCTCACCTCTTATCTCTAAGATTTCTGTGCCCTCACAGGGCCTAAACCCTCCAACGTGCACAGTTCATCGTCTGTAGCTGACCGTAAATTGATAACAGCCATTCTCAACTATGAGAAGCTGATCAAGATACGGAAAAGTTTCTATGTTGTAATAAAGAAACAAGTCAAAACACTTAACTACACAATTACAAAGTTATGCACAAGGACAGTATAAGTAGACACGTGTATCTGTCCCGAACAAAATTCAAACGACTACAAACATATAATAATTACCAGTTTACAAAATAATTTCTAATTCCTAAAACACCTAATTCCTAACCTAATTTAATATAAAACAAGCTTTATAAACCTTACAGTACATATAATAATTATCCTACTTTATAAAACTAACAATTCTAATCTAACGAAAACTCATGTCTCGCCTGTGACTGTCATATGTATTCCGCCAATATATGGGCGGCCCACTAAACAGCGAATGAAGCTCCGGAATAAAGTATAAATTTCAGAACGGCATAACCCCTAATAAATAAGCACTGTCCCAATTTGTCTCACTCGTAATTCGCGCACTGGTCATGTAGCTAGGCCATGGCCAGCGCACGTGGCGGTCGAGAGGGAACCAGCAAGGTGAAAAATACGTCAGAAATAGTCAGTTCCCCGAACTTCTGATCACCAAATGTCGTGAATTTTGTGTGTAGTTAAACACCGTACGCGTCACAACATGTAGTTGGGAACTGCTCTCAGGTTCCAAAATTAATTATAAAGCCATTGTCAATGCCACACACACAAAAAACCGGAAAATATTATCATTGCCAAAAATTTAATTTTTTGGTATTTTTTCAAAAGAAGTCCCCAAACTATCGGAATGTTTAGATTTTCATAAAATCAACTCTACATAGTTGCATAACCATTATATGAAAGTTTCAACGAATTTTGCTGGTTAATTGCGAAAGCCGAGATGTCTCGATCTTGTCGGCGAGTCTAGCGGTCTAAGGGAGATAACTCTCCCCAAAATTCACCACAAAGGTTTAAGTTTCTGTGTGTAGGCCTATAGTTTTTTCCTGAACTAACTTTCCTCAGCGATCATGGCACGACAGGCTGCTGTCCCTATAGACCTGGTGGTGAAGTTCGGTGGCAGCGCTATTACAGACAAATGTCAGATGGAGACTCTTAAAGAGGACAATTTGGCATCGGCAGCTGACGTGATCAGAAAATGTGTTGAACGTGGAGTTAGATGTGTAGTTATTCACGGAGCTGGGTGAGTTCGTTTAAGTATTCAATTGTTTAACTGCTTTCATAGCGCGCTTCGTGCATGTTGGTTGCTTAAGAATGCCATCTAAAAGCAGTTTAATATAGATATTCACCAGTTTGGGAGCTGTTCATCCCATAACAAATTCAATTACACTAATAATTATTCATTATAGTGTATTATCGTGTATGCTTGTTCAATTAATAGAACAGCCAATGCCCAGGGAGGTTCAGTGGTATCCAACGTAACAACTATGACGTCATAAATATGGATGACATCAACACTCGGTTCATGGCATTCATAGTCGATATGAATACTAACAGAATTTGGTAGGGCCATAAGATGGAACACATGTAGCGGAACTGGACTGGGTCGTTCGTCGCCGACCAGATAGCTCAATTGGTAGAGCATCCATCTAGAGTTCGGAGGGTCCCGGGTTCGAACCCTGGTCTGGCCGTGAATTTTTCCTCTCCTATTACATTTGGCGCCCAATGAAATATACCCACAGAAGGTGGTATAGGGTCTGGTGTGTCTTCTGGGTCGAAGACTTTGTTAAAGGAGGGAGGAATTAATGTAGTGGAACTGGACGTGGGTCGATCGCCGGTGACAAGATAGCTCAATTGGTAGAGCATCCGTCAAGAGTTTGGAGGGTCCTCGGTTCAAACCCCGGTCTGGCGGTGCATTTTTCCTCTCCTGTTACAAATATACCATCATAATAATATAATATTATGTAAGCCTTACTTTCTTTTTTATTCACCAATTTTAAAATACATATCGATTTCACATGGTTATAAATATTAAATGCAGACAATTTTTTTTTGTGTTGAGTTACAGGTACGTTACCAATGCGGTAAGAGCGCCATAGATGTGTGAATTGATTGCCTCAAAAATCGAACTTGATCAAAGCTACTTCTATAAGTACCATATGGCATCAATACTGTAGTTGTTGCCTTGATATGATTTGAGTACCTGTGATCATTTTTGAGATTTGAGTACATGTGATCATTTTTGAGATTTGAGTACCTGTGATCATTTTTTGAGATTTGAGTACCTGTGATCATTTTTGAGATTTGAGTACCTGTGATCATTTTTGAAGTTTGAGTACCTGTGATCATTTTTGAGATTTGAGTACCTGTGATAAACTATCGTTTTGTAGTGTAGATCGTTTGGTCATCACCATGCTAAAGAATATCAAGTCAATGCTGGTTTGAGGGGGACAATAGAGGAGGTGAAGAGAAGACGACATGGCGTGTGTCTGACCCGATTGTCTGTTACCAAGGTAATGTGTGTCTTACACGTTTGTCTGTTACCAAGGTAATGTATGTCTAGCCCGTTTGTCTGTTACCAAGGTAATGTGTCTTACACGTTTGTCTGTTACCAAGGTATGTGAATGTATTACCCGTTTGTCTGTTACCAAGGTAATAGGTGTCCTACCAGTTTGTCTGTTACCAAGGTAATGTGTCTTACCCGTTTGTCTGTTACCAAGGTAATGTGTATGTATTACCCATTTGTCTGTTACCAAGGTAATGTGTATGTATTACCCATTTGTCTGTTACCAAGATAATGTGTATGTACTACCCGTTTGTCTGTTACCAAGGTAATGTGTATGTATTACCCATTTGTCTGTTACCAAGATAATGTGTATGTACTACCCGTTTGTCTGTTACCAAGGTAATGTGTATGTATTACCCGTTTGTCTGTAACCAAGGTAATGTGTATGTCCTACCCTTTTGTCTGTTACCACAGTAATGTGTGTCTTACATGTTTGTCTGTTACCAAGGTAATGTATCTGTGTCTTACCCGTTTGTCTGTTACCATAGAAATGCATATGTCTTACCCATTTGTCTGTTACCAAGGTAATACCTTTGCCTGTTACCAAGGTAACATTCTTGTGTTTGTAAGGAGGACATTATATTGTATCTATCTTGTATGATTCATTCAGTATATTCTGATGAACAATGAAAATAATGTTGATAGTTTTTTTTACAGTTAAACCATATGGTGGTTCGGAGTCTTGTGGACAAGGGCATCAATGCTATTGGATTACCAGTAAGTAGAATTAATGGCATATTTCAAACAAGAATCTTTATTAAATGAATAACGTCCAAGAGGAATAATTTATAAGAAAAACGCTGAAAATGTGAGGTATTGATTCAAAAAGCCTCAAGCACAAGGCAGCCTCTGAAGTAAGGAAAATATAGAAAAAAAACACGCCTTCAACTGCAGTCCACCTCGTGTGATCACCACCTGTCTGGTAGCAATATCGGGTGTCGCTAACACACAGGTGAGATCATTACAAGAAATATCAATTAAGGAAGCACTTAGTTACTCGTGATTTATTGGGCAAAATAAATGTGTCCTGTTTCTGATTTTAACACATTAGGGTCTGTATGTAGTTAGGCAAATTTGTTTTGGAATACATTAGTATCAGTAATGGAGGGTGTACCTGGGTCCACTAGGCACAAACAAATCTAGGATCGGTAAGGAAAACGGAAACACAATTTTTGTTTTGCCTTAGCCTTTCCATGCTAGATGTATATATATATTCTAACATAGAATTGGGTTTGCAGGCGGCAGGTTCCTGGTTAATGGACAATGGTCAGGTTTCCCGCCATGGAGTGACCAGTATAGTGGAGCTACTAGACAGCTGCTTCGTACCAGTCTTGCATGGGGACTGTGTATTGGACTCCAGTAAGGGCTGTATCATCCTCAGTGGTGACGTCATCATCAAGGTAAGTAATGACAGGTGAGGACTGTTAAACGTGCTCAGTGGTGATGTCATCATCAAGGTAAGTGATGACAGGTGAGGACTGTGTAACATCCTCAGTGGTGACGTCATCATCAAGGTAAGTGATGACAGGTGAGGACTGTAACATCCTCAGTGGTGACGTCATCATCAAGGTAAGTGATGACAGGTGAGGACTGTAACATCCTCAGTGGTGACGTCATCATCAAGGTAAGTGATGACAGGTGAGGACTGTAACATCCTCAGTGGTGACGTCATCATCAAGGTAAGTGATGACAGGTGAGGACTGTAACATCCTCAGTGGTGACGTCATCATCAAGGTAAGTGATGACAGGTGAGGACTGTAACATCCTCAGTGGTGACGTCATCATCAAGGTAAGTGATGACAGGTGAGGACTGTAACATCCTCAGTGGTGACGTCATCATCAAGGTAAGTGATGACAGGTGATGACTGTAACATCCTCAGTGGTGACGTCATCATCAAGGTAAGTGATGACAGGTGAGGACTGTGTAACATCCTCAGTGATGATGTCATCATCAAGGTAAGTGATGACGGGTGAGGACTGTAACATCCCAAGTGGTGACAACATCATCAAGGTAAGTGATGACAGGTGAGGACTGTAACATCCTCAGTGGTGACGTCATCATCAAGGTAAGTTATGACAGGTGAGGACTGTAACATCCTCAGTGGTGATGTCGTCATCAAGGTAAGTGATGACAGGTGAGGACTGTGTAACGTGCTCAGTGGTGATGTCATCATCAAGGTAAGTGATTACAGGTGAGGACTGTGTAACATCCTCAGTGGTGACGTTATCATCAAGGTAAGTGATGACAGGTAAGGACTGTGTAACATCCTCAGTGGTGACGTCATCATCAAGGTAAGTGATGACAGGTGAGGACTGTAACATCCTCAGTGGTGACGTCATCATCAAGGTAAGTGATGACAGGTGAGGACTGTAACATCCTCAGTGGTGACGTCATCATCAAGGTAAGTGATGACAGGTGAGGACTGTAACATCCTCAGTGGTGACGTCATCATCAAGGTAAGTGATGACAGGTGAGGACTGTAACATCCTCAGTGGTGACGTCATCATCAAGGTAAGTGATGACAGGTGAGGACTGTAACATCCTCAGTGGTGATGTCATCATCAAGGTAAGTGATGACAGGTGAGGACTGTAACATCCTCAGTGGTGAGGTCATCATCAAGGTAAGTGATGCCAGGTGAGGACTGTAACATCCTCAGTGGTGACGTCATCATCAAGGTAAGTGATGACAGGTGAGGACTGTAACATCCTCAGTGGCGACATCATCATCAAGGTAAGTGATGACAGGTGAGGACTGTAACATCCTCAGTGGCGACATCATCATCAAGGTAAGTGATGACAGGTGAGGACTGTAACATCCTCAGTGGCGACATCATCATCAAGGTAAGTGATGACAGGTGAGGACTGTGAAACATCCTCAGTGGTGACGTCATCATCAAGGGATGACAGGTGAGGACTGTGTAACATCCTCAGTGGTGACGTCATCATCAAGGTAAGTAATGACATGTGAGGACTGTGTAACATCCTCAGTGGTGACGTCATCATCAAGGTAAGTGATGACAGGTGAGGACTGTGTAACATCCTCAGTGGTGACGTCATCATCAAGGTAAGTGATGACAGGTGAGGACTGTGTAACATCCTCAGTGGTGACGTCATCATCAAGGTAAGTGATGACAGGTGAGGACTGTGTAACATCCTCAGTGGTGACGTCATCATCAAGGTAAGTGATGACAGGTGAGGACTGTGTAACATCCTCAGTGGTGACGTCATCATCAAGGTAAGTGATGACAGGTGAGGACTGTGTAACATCCTCAGTGGTGACGTCATCATCAAGGTAAGTGATGACAGGTGAGGACTGTGTAACATCCTCAGTGGTGACGTCATCATCAAGGTAAGTGATGACAGGTGAGGACTGTGTAACATCCTCAGTGGTGACGTCATCATCAAGGTAAGTGATGACAGGTGAGGACTGTGTAACATCCTCAGTGGTGACGTCATCATCAAGGTAAGTGATGACAGGTGAGGACTGTGTAACATCCTCAGTGGTGACGTCATCATCAAGGTAAGTGATGACAGGTGAGGACTGTGTAACATCCTCAGTGGTGACGTCATCATCAAGGTAAGTGATGACAGGTGAGGACTGTGTAACATCCTCAGTGGTGACGTCATCATCAAGGTAAGTGATGACAGGTGAGGACTGTGTAACATCCTCAGTGGTGACGTCATCATCAAGGTAAGTGATGACAGGTGAGGACTGTGTAACATCCTCAGTGGTGACGTCATCATCAAGGTAAGTGATGACAGGTGAGGACTGTGTAACATCCTCAGTGGTGACGTCATCATCAAGGTAAGTGATGACAGGTGAGGACTGTGTAACATCCTCAGTGGTGACGTCATCATCAAGGTAAGTGATGACAGGTGAGGACTGTGTAACATCCTCAGTGGTGACGTCATCATCAAGGTAAGTGATGACAGGTGAGGACTGTGTAACATCCTCAGTGGTGACGTCATCATCAAGGTAAGTGATGACAGGTGAGGACTGTGTAACATCCTCAGTGGTGACGTCATCATCAAGGTAAGTGATGACAGGTGAGGACTGTGTAACATCCTCAGTGGTGACGTCATCATCAAGGTAAGTGATGACAGGTGAGGACTGTGTAACATCCTCAGTGGTGACGTCATCATCAAGGTAAGTGATGACAGGTGAGGACTGTATAACATCCTCAGTGGTGACGTCATCATCAAGTGATGACAGGTGAGGACTGTAACATCCTCAGTGGTGACGTCATCATCAAGGTAAGTGATGACAGGTGAGGACTGTGTAACATCCTCAGTGGTGACGTCATCATCAAGGTAAGTGATGACAGGTGAGGACTGTAACATCCTCAGTGGTGACGTCATCATCAAGGTAAGTGATTACAGGTGAGGACTGTGTAATATCCTCAGTGGTGACGTCATCATCAAGTGATGACAGGTGAGGACTGTAACATCCTTAGTGGGGACGTCATCATCAAGGTAAGAGATGACAGGTGAGGACTGTAACATCCTTAGTGGTGACGTCATCATCAAAGAAAGTGATGACAGGTGAGGACGGTAACATCCTCAGTGGTGACGTCATCTTCAAGGTAAGTGATTACAGGTGAGTACTGTGTAATATCCTCAGTGGTGACGCCATCATCAAAGTAAGTGATGACAGGTGAGGACTGCGTCATCATCAAGTGATGACAGGTGAGGACCGTAACATCCTCAGTGGTGATGTCATCATCAAGTGATGACAGGTGAGGACGGTAACATCCTCAGTGGTGATGTCATCATCAAGGTAAGTGATTACAGGTGAGGACTGTGTAAGATTCCCATTAAGTACATTTATTTCTTCCTTAGAATTATGGGAATTAACCCTGAAATTCTGTGATAAGTACGTACCACCCTTGGATTCATTGCCTTGTTTATGGAATTGGAATTTCTCATCTAGATATAGTCACCTGAATACAATGTGTAGAAATGTTTCGTTTCATCTATCCTTTCTCGTTTGCAGACAATTTGTAAAGAACAAAAGGTGAATCGTGTGGTATTCCTATCAGACGTGTTCGGAGTGTATGATAAACCTCCTTCACAGACAGGTAAACTGAACATAAGCAAATAAGAAAACACTTTTTTTCCAAGGACTGAACATATATATATACACACCACTCCACTGCCTGTATAAACCTCCTTCACAGACAGGTAAACTGAACATATATATACATGCCGTTTCTAATGCCAAAGTTTGCTATCTTTGCAGTTTATCCATGTCTAATATAATTATTCCATTCAGTCATTCTGAAGGAGTAGTTTTTCTTTTCACTTTTGTTAATATATCCTTTAAACATATGTGGTACTGCAGAAATATTCAAAGTGTAAACATGGAATAGGCTGTTCATTGATCTACAGTATTGTGTAATGGAGTGTGTGTGTTTTGTAGGGGTGGGGGAAGGTATTGAAAAGGGAGGGAGGATATTATCTTCAATCGGCTAAAAAACAAAAGTATGTTTGTTGAGTTTATATTATTTTTATACATAACACGATCTTTTATGGTTATCCAATCATAGTCACAATTTTAGAATGTTTCATTTATTGATTGTCTTGCTTTATGTACAATACAGACGCAGAACACATTTCAAAAATCTGTGTGAGCCAGGACAGAAGGATAATGACGGACATTTCTACGTCAGAGAGCCAGTATGACGTCACGGGCGGAATGATGTTAAAGATACAGACAGCCATGGACATAGTGATAAATAGTGGCGGGACAACAAAGGTGTACATCACCAAAGTGGGGTCAAACTGTGTCAACCAAATCTGTGAAGGATTAGATACGGGACAAGACGACACCAAATCATTTACCCAAATCATTCATCATCAGTGACATTGAGGAAGAATCATAACAGGGCCCCGGTGTTAGTATAATGGGACCAGGGCCCCGGTGTCAGTATAATGGGACCAGGGCCCCTGTGTCAGTATAATGTGACCAGGGCCCCTGTGTCAGTATAATGTGACCAGGGCCCCTGTGTCAGTATAATGTGACCAGGGCCCCTGTGTCAGAATAATGTGACTAGGGCCCCGGTGTCAGTATAATGTGACCTGAGGGCCCGATATCAGTATAAAGTGACCAGGGCCCCAGTGTCAGTATAATGTGACTAGGGCCCCGGTGTCAGTATAATGTGACCAGGGCCCCGGTGTCAGTATAATGTGACAAGGGCCCCGGTGTCGGTATAATGTGACCTGAGGGCCCGATATCAGTATAAAGTGACCAGGGCCCCGGTGTCAGTATAAAGTGACCAGGGCCCCGGTGTCAATATAATGTGACCAGGGCCCGATGTCAGTATAAAGTGACCAGGTGGAATGCTGTGCGGAGTGCCTTCGACATGGTATTTCATTGACATAGCACTATAACGGCGGCATCAGATCCGTGCTATAGCACACAATACACGTGGAGGCACGTCCTCAAATGACCTTAACTGTTGGTAGGATGTTAAACCCTATAAACCAAACCAAACCTTAACTTGATAGGAGACATCATGATGGGGTGCCACATGTGGTACAGAAAATACTGGCCCCTTGATTTTGTGGAGGTTCATGATGTTTTTTCTTTAGTTTTGCAATTGGTGTCCCCTTATTTTCTGATTTGGTTGTATAGATTTTTTACGATATATTTTGTACCTTTGCATAGCGTATATATACAGTCGGCATGTCATTTTTTTAAAAATACAAAAACGTAGTGTTTTGCATACAATTGTATACAAGTGTGTCAACATAAACAACAGAGACATGAATCAATTGCAACGTTCAATTATTTACAAAATAAACCGTATAACAATACAAATGAAGACCGACCCGACATTGGATAGCACTGTCACAGGACATTTTCTAAATAAAAACTCCACACGTCCTGTTGGTTCGAGTCAAAATTTATTGATGACCGGAGTCTCATGCCAATTCATACAGAAAACCCCCAACAATACAAATATGGTCTAGAACTAGTATGTCTCTGTATACAATACCTATGTTTGACAAGTCCAATATTTGATTTATATACTTTGAATTAAATATTCCAATTTATGACTACTTTTAAGCATTCATGCTATAGTTACCTTCCGAGACTGTCAAGGTCTGGTAAAATCATGTCTATATATAGTAGTCACTCTTTAATTACGAGTACAGCAGGACTGTGCAGGCGGGACCCCAGAGGATACGTTCCACCTCACGATAAACGGCCAATTGCGAATTAGCGCAGTGTATTACTAGTTTTATTACTACTCTCACTCACACTTGCATGCTTTCTTACAAACTCACACCCTAATTTACATATAACTCATCAACAACACCAAATACAGACATATAGAGATGACCACGACACAACACGGGTAGGACACCACCCTGAGCTGTAAATAGTAACTAGGTGATTTCCACATTACGATACACAGGTGACAAACGTACAGCACACAACACACACTACTTATAACTATACAATAAATCAGATCATAATGACCCTGTGACAACTAATTTGTTTAGAAAGTGTTTGCTTTAGATTGTAGCCAGCCAGAGAAATTTCAGAAACGGAATGAGCAGGTTGTTTTTACATGGTTTACTATGCCCACTTTTGTGAAATGCTGGTTTTTGGAATGGACAGGGTCCGGTTTATAAAGGGTTTAACTATGATTATATAGGGAAAATGCTGGGACCTCAAATCACAGCTGGTTTAGACAGGGATCTGGATTAGACAGGGGCCAGTTTTGACAGGTAATACTGTATATTCAAGCTACATAATATACAAGTATGAAACAGTGTGTGTAATTTTTTCTCCCACAACCACTATATGTTTCCTCACTCCCACAACCACTACAGGTGTCCTCACTCCCACAACCACTATAGGTGTCCTCACTCCCGACTCATTGGATAAACTTGTTAGGTAAATATGTTGGTAAATATGTTTGGTAACCAACAAGTGGGTAAAACCCTGGATATGATTTCATTGGTCAATCTTCTAATTATGACGTCAAGTCACGATGCTTTGCGACGTCATCTGCCATTGTGATGTCATAGTACATCGCAATTGTTTCCCCGTTGAAACGGGAATGATGTATTCCCGAGGGAAACATATAGTTTTCTGGATATGATATCTGAACGCTGTGGGAGAAAAAAATTCCAAACTTGTGATGGTTGATTATCATTGTTTGTCTAACTCTTGTTAGTTAATGTTCAAATTGTAAAAGGCATTCAGTAAACCTCACGTCTTCACAGTTAATACAATTTGAAAATTTACTAACTCCAGATAGATAAACCTGATAACCAATCACCACTTGTCAGGGAACCTCTGTATCTACAAAATAAAGTACAGACAACAGAAAAGAAGTGATTTTCATTTTTTTTCCCCCAAAATGCATCGTTTAATATGTTGACGTTATCGCGAACAGATGGAATCAGGTCATAGTCTTCCTATTTCCACGTCAGTTTTAGTATCACTCTGGGAACTTCTGTAATAGAAAACAATAGGTATACACACTGAGTTAAGTATATGAAAATGATAATAGACCGAAAGACAAAGTCTATGTGAAAACAAAATCATCTACATTGTATGTTAACTATGTACAGTATATGTTAACTATGTACATTGTATGTTAACTATGTACAGTATATGATAACTATGTACATTGTTTGTTAACTATGTACATTGTTTGTTAACTATGTACAGTATATGTTAACTATGTACAGTATATGTTAAGTATGTACAGTATATGATAACTATGTACAGTATATGTTAACTATGTACCGTATATGTTAACTATGTACAGTATATGTTAACTTGCATCAATTCAACATTATAGCTTGTGCAAATTGGGGTCAGTATTGATGATATGCACCTTTTCTATGTAATACTCACCTGTATTAATGGTATGTGCCACTTCTATATTAAAGTTGCCCTCCTTTTTTATAAACTCCTCAAACATGTGCACCCCTCCCCCGACACCAAAGTAGTGCGACTTGGCTGCAAGATATCTGGTGGTTAAGGTTAAGGTACAAAGTTTCTCAAATTATGTTGACTTATCAATAAGTGTTCACGTTCTGTTATACTGTACAGTGTAATTATATAATACTGTAGTGTATTGTGTAATACTGTAGTGTATTGTGTAATACTGTAGTGTATTGTGTATTAATGTAGTGTATTGTGTAATACTGTAGTGTATTGTGTATTAATATAGTGTATTGTGTATTAATGTAGTGTATTGTGTATTAATGTAGTGTATTCTTTGTATTGTTGTGTATAACTTTATAGTGCATTGTGTATTAATGTAGTGGTAATACTGTAGTGTATTGTGTATTAATATAGTGTATTGTGTATTAATGTAGTGTATTCTTTGTATTGTTGTGTATAACTTTATAGTGCATTGTGTATTAATGTAGTGTATTGTGTATTAATGTAGTGTATTCTTTGTATTGTTGTGTGCTGTGTATAACTTTATAGTGTATTGTGTATTAATGTAGTGTATTCTTTGTATTGTTGTGTGCTGTGTATAACTTTATAGTGTATTGTGTATTAATGTAGTGTATTCTTTGTATTGTTGTGTGCTGTGTATAACTTTATAGTGTATTGTGTATTAATGTAGTGTATTCTTTGTATTGTTGTGTGCTGTGTATAACTTTATAGTGTATTGTGTATTAATGTAGTGTATTCTTTGTATTGTTGTGTGCTGTGTATAACTTTATAGTGTATTGTGTATTAATGTAGTGTATTCTTTGTATTGTTGTGTGCTGTGTATAACTTTATAGTGTATTGTGTATTAATGTAGTGTATTCTTTGTATTGTTGTGTGCTGTGTATAACTTTATAGTGTATTGTGTATTAATGTAGTGTATTCTTTGTATTGTTGTGTGCTGTGTATAACTTTATAGTGTATTGTGTATTAATGTAGTGTATTCTTTGTATTGTTGTGTGCTGTGTATAACTTTATAGTGTATTGTGTATTAATGTAGTGTATTCTTTGTATTGTTGTGTGCTGTGTATAACTTTATAGTGTATTGTGTATTAATGTAGTGTATTCTTTGTATTGTTGTGTGCTGTGTATAACTTTATAGTGTATTGTGTATTAATGTAGTGTATTCTTTGTATTGTTGTGTGCTGTGTATAACTTTATAGTGTATTGTGTATTAATGTAGTGTATTCTTTGTATTGTTGTGTGCTGTGTATAACTTTATAGTGTATTGTGTATTAATGTAGTGTATTCTTTGTATTGTTGTGTGCTGTGTATAACTTTATAGTGTATTGTGTATTAATGTAGTGTATTCTTTGTATTGTTGTGTGCTGTGTATAACTTTATAGTGTATTGTGTATTAATGTAGTGTATTCTTTGTATTGTTGTGTGCTGTGTATAACTTTATAGTGTATTGTGTATTAATGTAGTGTATTCTTTGTATTGTTGTGTGCTGTGTATAACTTTATAGTGTATTGTGTATTAATGTAGTGTATTCTTTGTATTGTTGTGTGCTGTGTATAACTTTATAGTGTATTGTGTATTAATGTAGTGTATTCTTTGTATTGTTGTGTGCTGTGTATAACTTTCATATTTTCATATACGGCGGTATCACGCATCACCCTTCACCTTTGACCTCACAATAAAGACAATTGTGATGTCCCAACATTAAGAACATGGATAGCTTTATTAGGAACCTGATGATAAAATACTGTATATGTATTAAAATTGTTTGTACATCACTTAATATCAGGAACCTCGACCTTTTGGAGTAACATGTAACTACCCTACAGATATATTTATATACATGTAGTGATGAGCCCATAGCCTTGTCACCTTACATGAAGTGATGAGCCCATAACCTAGTAACCTTACATGTAGTGATGAGCCCATAGCCTTGTCACCTTACATGTAGTGATGAGCCAATAACCAAGTCACCTTACATGTAGTGATGAGCCAATAACCTAGTCACCTTACATGTAGTGATGAGCCAATAACCTTGTCACCTTACATGTAGTGATGAGCCGTTAGCCTTGTCACCTTACATGTAGTGATGAGCCAATAACCTTGTCACCTTACATGTAGTGATGAGCCGTTAGCCTTTTCACCTTACATGTAGTGATGAGCCAATAACCTTGTCACCTTACGTGTAGTAATGAGCCCATAGCCTTGTCACCTTACATGTAGTGATGAGCCCATCACCAATACTAGTCACCTTACATGTAGTGATGAGCCCATAGCCTTGTCACCTTACATGTAGTTATGAGCCCATAACCTAGTCACCTTACATGTAGTGATGAGCCCATAGCCTTGTCACCTTACAAGTAGTGATGAGCCCATAGCCTTGTCACCTTACATGTAGTGATGAGCCCATAACCTAGTCACCTTACATGTAGATGTAGTGATGGGCTGGGCTGATAATAATTTGTAATCCTTTATGTATTGATAGGCCAACAAGAACACCTACATTATAAGGATACATTACACCGTCTTCTGATAAACAACTTTTAAAGACAGCTTGGAGACTTTTGTAGTTGTCAGGATTATAAATAGTTTCTGCTGACAATATCACATCGTACCTGTAAAACGAAATAACATATACCCTGAAATAGTTACATAAAACTGAAGACAGGACCGCCATCAATCCAAGTTACATAAAACTGAAGACAGGACCGCCATCAATCCAAGTTACATAACTCAGTTATATATAGTGGATGCTAACTTTGAGAAAATTAATTATTCCTGTCAATTAAAATTTCAAAAATACAAAAAATAATGTATTTAGTAATGCTATATGTATTGATGGACATGTGCAGATACATTTTATCTGAGTGATAATCAAAAGTATACACGAGCCTCATAATGTTCTACTGTATTCATACATTGTATATACAGGTATTAAAGAGCAATGTATTTGTTTGAACAGTTAAATTAATACAAAAGCATCTATAAATGCAGATGAATTTGTTTAACACTTTATGTAAATGATATAGATTAAATCTATATCATTTACATAAAGTGTTAAACAAATCTTACATGGATTACTGTAGCTGGGACAAAAATTTGTTGTGATACATAAAGATAAATAGATTTTTACTTTTGCTGTCTTATAATCTCATAAAAATAAGACCAATCTCCGGAGAAGAAACGACAATGACACCAGGTCTCATGTAGGCGGACATTTTGGATCGTAAAATATTCTATAACCTCAGAATTCTGCAAAAATAAATGGTACACATTTTTAATACTTTGTAATATACTGTAATTATAAGATTGCAACATTATAGTTATGGGTTTTATAGTGAGAATACACCATTGAATGTTCTTGCCAACCTTTCAAATATTTAAACATCCGAGGAGTTACAGTGACTCCTAATTGACAATTAGGAAGTACTGTTAAGTTAAAATTGAATTTGTCAAGAGGAACTCAAGCTATTCTGTGGAAACAGAAAGGTTGGACAGACAAACAGGTGTGACTATAACATCTCTTCTGATGTAGATTGGTTTGAAAACACATACAGAGACTTGATAAGTTGTCAATGTTTATATGATGCAATATCCTATCAAAGGAGATTCTATGTGAGATAGAACCTGCGGTCCCAGACTTCCTCGTCCACCACTCTACCTATTGAGCTATGATCCCCAACTTCCTAGTCTACCACTCTACCTATTGAGCTACGATTCCAGACTTCCTAGTCCACCGCTCTACCTATTGAGCTACAATCCCAGACTTCCTCGTCCACCGCTCTAACTATTGAGCTATGATCCCCAACTTCCTAGTCTACCGCTCTACCTATTGAGCTACGATCCCAGACTTCCTAGTCTACCACTCTACCTATTGAGCTACGATCCCAAACTTTCTAGTCTACCACTCCACCTATTGAGCTACGATTCCAGACTTCCACGTCCACCGCTCTACCTATTGAGCTACGATTCCAGACTTCCACGTCAACCGCTCTAACTATTGAGCTACGATCCCAGACTTCCTAGTCTACCGCTCTACCTATTGAGCTACGATCCCAGACTTCCTAGTCTACCACTCTACCTATTGAGCTACGATCCCAAACTTTCTAGTCTACCACTCCACCTATTGAGCTACGATTCCAGACTTCCACGTCCACCGCTCTACCTATTGAGCTACGATTCCAGACTTCCACGTCAACCGCTCTAACTATTGAGCTACGATCCCAGACTTCCTAGTCTACCACTCTACCTATTGAGCTACGATCCCAGACTTCCTAGTTCACCGCTCTACCTATTGTGGTACGATCCCAGACTTCCTAGTCTACCACTCTACCTATTGAGCTACGATCCCAGACTTCCTAGTCCACCGCTCTACCTATTGAGCTACGATCCCAGACTTCCTAGTCCACCGCTCTACCTATTGTGCTACGATCCCAGACTTCCTAGTCCAACGCTCTACCTATTGAGCTACGATTCCAGACTTCCTAGTCCACCGCTCTACCTATTGAGCTACGATCCCAGACTTCCTAGTCTACCGCTCTCCCTATTGAGCTACGATCCCAGACTTCCTAGTCCACCACTCCACCTATTGAGCTACGATCCCAGACTGCCTAGTCCACCGCTCTACCTATTGAGCTACGATTCCAGACTTCCTAGTCCACCGCTCCACCTATTGAGCTACGATCCCCGACTTCCTAGTCTACCGCTCTAACTATTGAGCTACGATCCCAGACTTCCTAGTCTACCGCGCTACCTATTGAGCTACGATCCCAGACTTCCTAGTCCACCGCTCTACTTATTGAGCTACGATCCCAGACTTCCTAGTCTACCACTCCACCTATTGAGCTACGATCCCAGACTTCCTAGTCCACCGCTCTACCTATTGAGCTACAATCCCAGACTTCCTAGTCCACCACTCTACCTATTGAGCTACGATCCCAGACTTCCTAGTCCACCGCTCTACCTATTGTGCTACGATCCCAGACTTCCCAGTCTACCACGTGCACTCTACCTATTGAGCTACGATCCCAGACTTCCTAGTCCACCACTCTACCTATTGAGCTACGATCCCAGACTTCCTAGTCCACCACTCTACCTATTGAGCTACAATCCCAGACTTCTTAGTCTACCGCTCTACCTATTGAGCTACGATCCCAGACTTCCTAGTCTACCGCTCTACCTATTGAGCTACCATCCCTGACTTCCTTGTCTACCGCTTTACCTATTGAGCTATAAAGTGTGATGTTGAAATCAATTAAGAGAAAACTTACATAATCTTGGAAATGAACTTCTGATGCACCACACTGCATTGTACAGAGACCAGGGATACCAGCTCCACAACCAAGCTTTGTGATAGAGAATTGTTACAGCAGTTGACACATTGCATCACATTAGGTATACAGAATCACATCATAAAGATACACCAAGATGTAAGTTCTCACATATACAATTTACTGAATCAGTTATATATAGATGTTAAATTACATTTTACACTGCCTATGCTATATGTATGATTAAAGACTAGAATCATTTTTATGAAATCCTTCAACTGAATACCCATACAAAACTTAGTTCTGACTTAATTATTCTGAGAGGCATATTAAATATCAGTATCAAAAAATTGTAAACTTGAAATGTTTTGCCGTAGGTTAACATTTGGCTCTGAAATTGGGGACAAATGACCATTATAGAAAAAACTGGATTACATCAGACTTTATGTAATTCCATGTGTAAGACAAAATTAATAATTAGATTTGGATTTACCTGGGAAGGGCAATAGTTAACTTGTACAGATTTACCTGGGAAGGGCAATTTTTAACTTGTACAGATTTACCTGGGAAGGGCAATAGTTAACTTGTACAGATTTACGGTATACAATGTACAACTTTACGTATTCACTCATTGTTTTGGTAAGCTTTTTTTTATCAATTAAGTAAATCACAAATGCCAAGTAAGTGTTAATTACTATCTAGCTCCTTATTGAACAGTCCATAACATACATACCTCCAGCACAGTTGTGTCCTGTAGTTGTGACTTATTGGTGGTCAAGTATTCAGCCAGGTCTAGCGAGCACTCCCATACCGTAAGGCCACCTAGTCATTCACCAAAATTATAAATAATGATTTTAATTGGAAAGGAATATTATGTAATCACAACATAACATGCACTCAGTATTTGTGAGTCATTGTTAATTAATTTGATATTCATTTATTGACTAGATAGACTTCAGATGCATGAGCTAATCTTATATAAACACATCTTTTCCCCCGCAACTTGTAAAGAAGCAGTATGTTGCCTTATCTTTGCAGGTGACACAAATAGATTTGAAGCAGAAACAACCCCTATGTAACTTTAGTAGACTATTCCATGCATTGATATGGATAAGTCCATTATGGTCTACAGTGGTGAAAGGGTTAAGTATCAAACAGGTTGATGAAAATGTTAAGTCGAGAGCATGATCTGTTATGTTATGTGGCAAGATATGTAAAGTGATTGTGCAGTCATCATAATATCCTCTTACATCTACATGTATGTATACGGTCAAGCTGCTCTATATAAAGATGATAAACAGACAAACTGTTCTCTATGATCATACATGTATGTACAAGGTCAAGCTGCTCTATATAAAGATGATAAACAGACAAACTGTTCTCTATGATCATACATGTATGTATAAGGTCAAGCTGCTCTATATAAAGATGATAAACGGACAAACTGTTCTCTATGATCATACATGTATGTACAAGGTCAAGCTGCTCTATATAAAGATGATAAACGGACAAACTGTTCTCTATGATCATACATGTATGTACAAGGTCAAGCTGCTCTATATAAAGATGATAAACGGACAAACTGTTCTCTATGATCATACATGTATGTACAAGGTCAAGCTGCTCTATATAAAGATGATAAACGGACAAACTGTTCTCTATGATCATACATGTATGTACAAGGTCAAGCTGCTCTATATAAAGATGATAAACGGACAAACTGTTCTCTATGATCATACATGTATGTACAAGGTCAAGCTGCTCTATATAAAGATGATAAACGGACAAACTGTTCTCTATGATCATACATGTATGTACAAGGTCAAGCTGCTCTATATAAAGATGATAAACGGACAAACTGTTCTCTATGATCATACATGTATGTACAAGGTCAAGCTGCTCTATATAAAGATGATAAACGGACAAACTGTTCTCTATGATCATACATGTATGTACAAGGTCAAGCTGCTCTATATAAAGATGATAAACGGACAAACTGTTCTCTATGATCATACATGTATGTACAAGGTCAAGCTGCTCTATATAAAGATGATAAACGGACAAACTGTTCTCTATGATCATACATGTATGTACAAGGTCAAGCTGCTCTATATAAAGATGATAAACGGACAAACTGTTCTCTATGATCATACATGTATGTACAAGGTCAAGCTGCTCTATATAAAGATGATAAACGGACAAACTGTTCTCTATGATCATACATGTATGTACAAGGTCAAGCTGCTCTATATAAAGATGATAAACGGACAAACTGTTCTCTATGATCATACATGTATGTACAAGGTCAAGCTGCTCTATATAAAGATGATAAACGGACAAACTGTTCTCTATGATCATACATGTATGTACAAGGTCAAGCTGCTCTATATAAAGATGATAAACGGACAAACTGTTCTCTATGATCATACATGTATGTACAAGGTCAAGCTGCTCTATATAAAGATGATAAACGGACAAACTGTTCTCTATGATCATACATGTATGTACAAGGTCAAGCTGCTCTATATAAAGATGATAAACGGACAAACTGTTCTCTATGATCATACATGTATGTACAAGGTCAAGCTGCTCTATATAAAGATGATAAACGGACAAACTGTTCTCTATGATCATACATGTATGTACAAGGTCAAGCTGCTCTATATAAAGATGATAAACGGACAAACTGTTCTCTATGATCATACATGTATGTACAAGGTCAAGCTGCTCTATATAAAGATGATAAACGGACAAACTGTTCTCTATGATCATACATGTATGTACAAGGTCAAGCTGCTCTATATAAAGATGATAAACGGACAAACTGTTCTCTATGATCATACATGTATGTACAAGGTCAAGCTGCTCTATATAAAGATGATAAACGGACAAACTGTTCTCTATGATCATACATGTATGTACAAGGTCAAGCTGCTCTATATAAAGATGATAAACGGACAAACTGTTCTCTATGATCATACATGTATGTACAAGGTCAAGCTGCTCTATATAAAGATGATAAACGGACAAACTGTTCTCTATGATCATACATGTATGTACAAGGTCAAGCTGCTCTATATAAAGATGATAAACGGACAAACTGTTCTCTATGATCATACATGTATGTACAAGGTCAAGCTGCTCTATATAAAGATGATAAACGGACAAACTGTTCTCTATGATCATACATGTATGTACAAGGTCAAGCTGCTCTATATAAAGATGATAAACGGACAAACTGTTCTCTATGATCATTCATGTATGTACAAGGTCAAGCTGCTCTATATAAAGATGATAAACAGACAAACTGTTCTCTATGATCATTCATGTATGTACAAGGTCAAGCTGCTCTATAAACGGACAAACTGTTCTCTATGATCATTTATGTATGTATAAGGTCAAGTTGCTCTATATAAAGATGATAAATGGACAAACTGTTCTCTATGATCATGCATGTATGTGATATTCACTTTGAACTTGTAATTCTGAGAACGCAGGTTCACATCACTTGTTGTAGCATAGAACTAGCGTAGAACTTTATGATGCAGACTTGAGCGTTCCCTTGTGTGTTAGTGTTACATTCATATAGGATCCCATCGCTAGTAAATCACACATTTTGATGCTTTAAAGCTTTGATAGACATATAAATAATGTGGTAATGTAAATGATTTGTTTGGTGTTTTTAAAACACAGATGAAACAAACCTTCATACTTATCTGGGACCAGGTCAGAATGGGCAGACACTGCTGCGACAAAATTTGACGTTTGCGATCTGTTTCTGCACAAGTATTCTTCCACTGACTCACTATTGTAGCAGTGAACCTCTACATCGTTGAATGTGTGTATAGTTGCAGTTACATCTTCTGGCATATCAATCTGTTAAGGAAAAACAAGTTACAATGGTTACAGACAATTTCAATTTGATCTACAGCTACTTCTGTTTTGGTTCACCTGCCCGAAGGGCTAGTACACTAAAAGTGATCTAAAATAAAGCTACAGTAAGGCAAAATATCAGCATTTATGACTATCAAGTCATTTAAAAGAAACTGCTAAAAGATTTTAAAACATTTGACCCCTGGGCCCTGTAATGACCTTAAAAGTCAAATAAGGTCATTACAATGAACAAACTTTTTAGCCCTTCATCTCAGCATGCAACTTGCCAAATATCACCACCCTAGACCTTTTGTTTATTGAGATTAGGTCATTTAAAGGTTTATATATATTTGACCAAATGTGACCTTGAATATAAGTCCATTTTAACAAACTTGGAGGCCCTTTATCTTAGCAAGCTACTGGCCAGATATCAACATTCTAGAGATATCAACATTCTAGGCCCTATGGTTATTCAGAAGTCTTTAAAGTTTTAAACATATCTGATGCCTGTGACCTTGAATATAAGTCAAGGTCACTCATTTGAACAAAATTGGTAGCCCTTCATCCTAGCATGCTACTGGCCAGATGTCATCATCCTGGGCCTTTTGGTTATTCAAAGGAAGTTGTTGAAAGAATTTAAACATATACATTCTATTTTAACCCAGTGACCTCAATTGACTATGGGTGAAAGTTATTTATTTGAAGTTATCTTAATCCCAGCATGCTACTGACCAAATATCAACACCCTGCTCCTTTTGATTATTCAGAAAAAGTTGTTAAAATGTTTTATAAGACAGTTGACCTGTGACTTTGAGTCAAGTATTTAAGTCTTTGAATATAAGTGAAGGTCACTCATTTGAACAAACCTGGTAGCCCTTCATCCCAGTTTGCTTCTGGCCAAATACCATCACCCTAGACCTTTTGGTAATGAAGAAGTTGTTTAAATTAAAACCTTGAAGACGGACGCAGTGCACGGCATTATAAAGCTCTCGGGCCAGATGAGCTAAAAATCTAAATTACCTCATTATCCTTCATAAATATTTCTTTAGCATGTTCCTTGTTGGAGATGTCTAGCTTCTCATTTTCAACATCTTCTGAAATAAAAATTGGCGTTTACATTTTACTAATGTCTCCTGACGGTTGTCATAAAACGACAAATGGTAGCAATCCCACACACCAGACGGCACTAGTGTAACAGCTGATGTTTGTTACTGAATAAATTAATAAGTTGTACCAATTAACATTACAATTAATTAATTATATTTGAACATTTTTTATTTTTTTTTACTAATTATGAACTAAATGCTGATGTCTTTGATGTATCCAAATTTGACTTCATCAATGACCAGCCAACTACACATACACAACAAGAATAATTTTAACCTATTGTAACACACACACACACACATGTATAGCATATTTGTCCTTAATCCCTATCTATTCTATTCTCTCTTTCTTTTCTACTCTTTTTCCATCAGTGTCGCCCATTGCGTCCATCGTTATCCTGTATGTTTCACGAATGTAAAAACCCAATAACATGTTTCAATGTATCTCCTTTACATAAACAGTACATATTGCAGTATCAATTGACACAAACATCCTCAAGCGTCAATTATAGAAGATGTTCACGTAGTGCATCTACATTAGTGTATGTAAAAATATTTAGTTTGAGTATATATATATGCAGAAAAATATTTGAGTTATGTTGATTTCATTTTTGTTTTTACAATTGATGTGTTTCAAATTGTCACAGGTATACTAGTATGATTCCCCAGTTTAAGTATATATACTTAATCTATATAGTAGTTAAATTGTCACAGGTATACTAGTATGATTCCCCAGTTTAAGTATATATATTTAATCTATATAGTAGTTAAATTGTCACAGGTATACTAGTATATATATATTTAATCTATATAGTAGTTTAATTGTCACAGGTATACTAGTATGATTCCCCAGTTTAAGTACATGTATATATATTTAATCTATAGTAGTTAAATGAATGAGATCGGATGTTCTTGATTTTGTTGTGTTCCTATTTTTTTAAATTTTCCCTAACCACTGGTTTACTCTAACCAACCTTTGAGTTACCGCTGGACCAGGTATTAGTACAGAGGTCTGAGTAACCGCTGGGCCTATTAGTACAGAGGTCTGAGTAACTGCTTGGCCTATTAGTACAGAGGTCTATACTGATCGGGTAGTAATTTCAGACCATATCACTCAAACTAATCGGGTAGATCCATAAGGACAGCAATATCAAAAGTGTTGATAACACAATTATAATATACATATATTATTAATGTAAAAATAGGTACTTGATCCGGGGTTAGAGGGTGTATACATCATGGTGAGATTAATTATCATATAAAGCGGTTTTCCCCATTATTTTGCTGAAAGGATAACAGGTTGAAAAAAATGTGCATACATTGTATATGTACAATGTAAGTTTACAATAGAATGTTCATTTATTTTTTCTGCATTTTTTATGTTACTGCATGTAGCTTGATTATACAAACAACATATCATCTGATATATCACTTATTGGAATGTTTCTTTCAGTCATACAGCTTGAAGATGCTTCATTGACTGGGAAGTTTGCCAAAATTTGGCAAAATTTAAATTCATCATAACTAGAACGAAATTAATGCTATTACATTGTATCTGAACAATTATAAACAAAGCACAGGTATTAGTTTCCTCTGGCCCTGACACCAGACTTGGACATTTTGACACACCAGACATATATCTGTGAAAATGTCTATAAGTCTGGTGTCGAGGCCAGAGGAAACTTTGGCTACACATGTACAGGTATCAGCCTTGTCTGTCAATACACCATAATGCTGTCGTGGAACTGGACTGCATCGATCGTGGGCGACTGGGTTGATCGTCGGCGACCAGATAGCTCAATTGGTTGAGCGTCCATCTAGAGTTCCGAAGATCTCGGGTTCGAACCCTGGTCTGGCAGTGCATTTTACCTCTCCTGTTACATTTGGCGCCCGACGAAATATATAACCACAGAAAGAGGTATAGGGTATTGTGTGTCCTCGGGGTCGAAGACTTTGTTTAAGGAGAATGCATCATCTAAAAGCTGGTTCATTTATATTGACAAACTCCTACCTCAGTACTAACTTCCTTTAAGAAGTTACTGAGAATTCCTCCTCGAACAAGAATTGGAACAAGAGGCCCAAGGGCCTTAGCGGTCACCTGAGCTATATCATAGGTACTGGTAGCTTTATTTTATTGTTTAGATGTGATGTGGAAATCAGCATGTAAACTAAGTGAAATACAATACTTGTCATGTCATCAATGGATAAGAATTTGAAAATATTGGTAAATGTTCCCTTTGGGGCCCCGCCCTAGCCCCTGGGGATGGGGCAGGAATCCCAATTTTACAAAGTAATACTCTCATTCACCCAAGATGATTCTGACTAAGTTTGAGTAATTTTCTGCTGAAAATGGATAAAATATATACCGAAAAGTGTTATTTCCCTATATAAACTATATTAAACTTTACCCCCTCCCTAAGGGAGAACGGATAGCTCGGGGGCCCTGAAATTTACAATTTAAATAAAGCCCCTGATGATTTTCTTTCCATGCAGAGAAAATGAATGTAGTACCTCTGAGTCTGGAAGTGAAAAATTTGGAAATATTGGTTAATTTTCCATTTGGGGCCCCGCCCTGGCCCCTAGGGTTGGGGTAGGAATTTCAATTTTACAATTTGAAACCATCTCCCTCCAAGGATAATTCTCACCAAGTAAAAATAATTTCCTACAAAAAGTTGTCAAAATATACCCAAAAGTGTTATTTCCCTATATAAACTATAGTAAACTTTACCCCCTCCCCAAGGGAGAACGGATAGCTCGGGGGTCCTGAAATTTACAATTTAAGTAAAGCCCCTGATGATCTTTCTTTCCACGTAGAGAAAATCACTGTAGTACCTCTGAGTCTGGAGAAGAAGATTTTTGAAATATTGATTAATTTTCCCTTTGGGGCCCCGCCCTGGCCCCAGGGGTCGGGGTAGGAATCTCAATTTTACAATTTGAAACCATCTACCTCCAAGGATAATTCTCACCAAGTAAAAATAATTTCCTACAGAAAGTTGTCAAAATATACCCAAAAGTGTTATTTCCCTATATAAACTATAGTAAACTTTACCCCCTCCCCAAGGGAGAACGGATAGCTCGGGGGTCCTGAAATTTACAATTTAAGTAAAGCCCCGGATGATCTTTCTTTCCACGTAAAGAAAATCACTGTAGTACCTCTGAGTCTGGAGAAGAAGATTTTTGAAATATTGGTTAATTTTCCCTTTGGGGCCCCGCCCTGCCCCAGGGGTTGGGGTAGGAATCCCAATTTTACAATTTTGAAGCCTCATCTACCAAGGATGATTCTGACCAAGTTTGAAAAAAATGCATCCACTGGTTCTTGAGAAGAAGTTGAAAATGTAAAAGTTTACGCACGACGGACGACGACGGACGAAAAGCGATTAGAATAGGTCACTTGAGCAAAGATGCATACTGCGGAGAGACCACATCGTCAAACTCCATGAAGGCAAGTCGTCATTAGAATTATAATCTCCACCACCACACCATGAGAATATCCTGTGTCCATCACGTATTGGATTCTACGCCTATCGATACGCTGACTGTAAGAAAATCTATAACCAAGTGTAGACTATTGTCAGGCGCCTACACTCTCCAGTGTAAATGGGGTAAATTCAGGCAGGTCAAGTGTCCTACTTGTCTCTTATGTGAGGAAGCAACAGAAGACCTCCAGCATTTCATTCTACAGTGTTATATTGATTCATTTACAACAACTGTGACTCTATAGTGGCTTGTACTAGGACAACTTTGGGGCTTCAAGAAACCCCCCACCCTGAGAAGTTACTTTAAAAATCATGTATTTTTACCATTTTCCTCTTTGTTCCCCACATGGAAACCTCCCTGGAAATTTGGAACCCCCTCCCCAGATCCGCAACTGCTCCTTATCGTTTGTGTGCTACTTACCTGCTTACATACATGTAGGTCATATCGTCTCCCACGGCAGGCATTACCTCTACTCCAACAATGTTAGAGGTTTTACACGGCGATAAGTCATCTCATGTGAATAAATATACTACAGTGACTAAGATACTTAGAAGAAACTTAGAAGAAGAAGGAGGGAGGAAGGTACTTGGTTCGAACCCCGGTCGGGCTGTGCATTTTCCCTCTCCTGTTACAAGACGAGGCTAGGCCTAGTGCACAGAGGTTATCACAAATAACTGATTATCAATATAATAAAACAAATAATACCTTTGAATGGAGCCTCCTCAACGTTTTCGGTATAAGTAGGATTTTCTGGATTTGGAAAGTTGAACCGAAATGCCATCACTATTTTACAATTTATAGCCAAAATGAAAGTAGGAGCACACACGTGAGAAGTTTAAATGGAAATGAGTCGAGGGATTTCATTGGTGCACGGTTGCCAAATTAACCAATCAACGCCAATTTAACAAAAAGAATCGACAATATTTGAAAAGTCCAGAGGTATTCCGAATTATTAGTTTAGAACAGGAAAATGGCGGCAGATGGAACAGAGGGATGCATGTATACGTTCAATTTGAAACCCAGCTGTATCAACGCTGTCAAGTGGTCAAGTGATGGGCGTGTGGCCATAGCAGCAAACGAATGTGTACTTCTCATGGTAAATTACACTCCACATGTCATGTTGTAGCTCAAATGATAAAAGCCTATGTAATAATCCGATTACTTACTTAACGTACTGTACAGTGTAAACACAGGGATTCGTTATGTCTAAGATAAACACAGTTTTTGTGTAGGTGTGCTGTAACCCGTATCAGTAAAGCATATGTGCATTTAACACATTTTTAAGGAACCCCTGTGGTCCAGCCAGAGATGTATCATAGCTCACTGACCCTCAGGAAGACTCTCATTTTGACCAAAAATTACCAATCTCCCTCGAAACTCCCTCATTCAAGTCTAGATCTTAACTCACACAAATTGAAAATCAACATCCTTTCGGAAAATGATCTCCAGCTAGTTACTGCAGGATGAGTGTAATGATCATAACACAGGTGTGTCTAAATCAAATGAATGCTTTTTTTGGAGTAAATATTTTGGTACATTCATGTAGAAAGGGAAAGATAAAATGAGCAAAGAAGTTTCAGTCATGTTTCATTCCCTTTTTCCCTTTTAGGACATGTGGAATGAGGGAGATCTTTCTCATTTGAGATTTCAGAGGTTTGGACACCTATGACATATATAGGAGTTTCTTCTGGCCCTGACAACAGTCAGACATTGGTAACAGGGCCTGAGGAAACTTAAGTATTGTAATATATATGTCTCTGGTCCAGCACTTACAATGTACCATGACCCTTGCATTGAAGATAACTGTCAGAATAGGCATGTACAAAAAAAATTCTTCTGATTGATCTGACTTCAAAGTTTTTAAACAAAATAAAAATGTACATCTGGTGAGACATATATGCATGTTAATATATAATGTTATTGAAAGTTACATTGTTGGTTTGTATGGATTTTCACCCGATTTTTACAGGAACTCGATTATTCCCCACACCAGCTAGTGTCATCATCAAGCTGCCACATCAAGTCCATACCAGCATGGAAAGAACAACACAACATGTCTGGTTTGGATGAAGTGCAATTCAGAGATCTCCAAGAAAACACAAAATCTCCAGGTCTGAAACATTGATCTGATATATGATTAATCCCATATTGTACTATCCAATGCATCCATTGATAAATCCTAATCAGCAGTTTGAATTTGATTGTTTACCCCTCACCACTGTAGACCATAATGGACTCATCCAGATCAATCCATGGTAGGGTTGATTGAAGTTACATAGGGGTGAAAGGGTTAACATTTGTACACTATAAATTACATAGAATATAAGTTACATAATTAAAGTGTGTGCCCCTCCTCCCATAGTCCCTGATGTAGAAGGACATGATCCAACGGGCAATTTAAGTTGGGGGGACTCTAATAATGAACTTTTAGCTTAATGTGATTCATGATATCTTCGATGCAACCCTGAATTAAAGGGGTTCAAACCTGCAAAAATGAAGGAAGATAATATGTTATAGACATAAATTTGTTTTTCAATTTGTTCAAATTTATATCCTTCAATATCTGTAAAGGTCAGAGGTATAAAATTTGTTTAAAACTTCAAATGATTTCTAATGAGCCATAAAAGCCAGAATATTTCATCTGTAGCAAGGATGGAGGGCAAGTCTAGATCTATCAAATTATTGGCTGTTGAATGACACTGACTACTGGTAACTTGCAAGGTCACAGATATCGATCATATCAATTGAAAGTAATAAATATTAAGATAAAAAGAAGTGAGTTATGAAGGTATTTGTATGTGATTTTTCCACCAAATTATTGATATTGTCATATTGTTTTGTTTTGTGTGCAGAATTAAAGCAAGAGCTTGCTCTTGACCACACACTATGTCCACTAGTGAAGTCAGCCTCAACGCACGCTGGGTATCGGACAATCTGCTGGTCACCTGTCGGAGGAGACAGATTAGGGAGGTATGTTTCAGATTCATTAACTCCTTTATATCACAGAATGTAGTCATAGAATCCCCTTTCCCCTTTATGACCTATTAATATACTAGATAATCATACATGTATTTAATATATTCCACTGTATCCACTACTTAGATCAGTGTTATGCATGTATATTTGTATTATGATCACATGGTAAAATCTTTGATGAGGTTTTATCTTTAAAGAACTCATAAAGATCTTGTATTTAAGATATAAACATTGATTTTTGGGACACTGATACTGAAGTCCTGGATTCTTGTTTTTTTCTGTGGATCTCGCACACATTTTGAAAGCCCATTGATCATGACTCATCAATATTAAGAAGTGATGTTTACTTCAAAAAATCATAAAAAAATCTTTCCATGAACAATGTAGCTCTTTATTTGAAAATTTCTTGAGTATGAGATTGTATCTAAAACATCTTTTGATCACTTATTCCTTTCACCACTATAGATAATAATTGACTTTTCAAAATAAATGTATGGTAGAGTCTTTACTCAAGTTACCAAGGGGCGAAATGGTTATAAACAAAACAATATACTAGCCCATCCCACTCAGACAAGAATTGATGATTTCAGTTTTTAGCTAAGGCGTTAGCCGCCAGCTATTGGTATTACTTTAGTTAATGAGCTCAGATATTCATAAATGTCGATTTCACACAGACGGCCTCTAGCGGTAGTCACTGGTACTAAATTGAATCATATACCGGACCTACTGTCTTTATTATGCGTAACTTTGGACTCAAATGCACTTGAATGGCTTGTAAATATCATTACTTTTCTTTATAGAACATATGATCTTATCACAACGTCGTATTCTTATTGAAAATGCACCCTGTTTATCTCAATCGGGAACTGCTACTTGAATGTAGGTCATGCATGCTACACGCAACTTCCGGTAAAAATACTTCAGTTAATGAGCTCAGATATTCATAAACGAGACATAACGTCACCTTCTAGTAATACTAAACAAACTGCAAATAAAATCCATTACCACGGACTCAAGTTCACTCAAACGTCATTGGATATAATCTTATTCTTAGTTAGAACTAAGTATCCTTCTAAAACTTCGTATTTACTCTTGGAACTGTCGCTGGATTAACCCTTTACACGGAAATATTGTCCTGTGATTGGCTAAAATTGGTGACATTTACGTCCCTGTTTACAATTATATATTGCGTGGTCAGAGCTATGAAGCGGTCCTGTTCCAACTAACTGAGGATAATCAAAAGTGCTAATCAGTAATAATATATCTGATTCACGCTTCATATGATTATAATGTTATCAAAATATTGCATATTCGTTCATCGTTAAAATAACAAATCCTTACTAAAAACTCTAAAAAAAGAAACGACGGCCATGTTAGATCACGCGTGATGTTATCCGTTTCCTTATATGGCCTTCACGGCCAAATATAGTATTACTACTGATGCGGTCATGTTTACTACAATTTCCATATTTGGTCATGACACCCATATTTAGACGTCTGACCTATATCGGAAAGATTGAGGAAGTTTCCAACATGGCAGTCAATTAGGATTTCGCTTGCACTTGTTACGTAAACTTGATAATTTAACGAAATATAAGGCGGAGTATAACTTACAATTATGTAGGAGATCAACATAAAAAGTTCATATTACAAACCTATTAATGGATACGGATCCTGTCAATTAATTCTAAAATCGCCTCCGTGTGATTCACACCAGGCTTGCCTAACTAAAATGGGATCAACCGGCCGGGGCAGATGAGACCGGGAATCATGTTAGAACTAGCCACTGTCCTTCTCTAGTTCCATATTGGTATTCTAACCTGAAGGCTTTTTTTACCTTCGCAGTATTATCATTTTGTTCTATTTTCATCATAAGATATGCTATTGCATTTTTATATCGCCTTCTCGCTAATTACAGCTCAGCCAGAAACGAAAATATGCTCCGATAGGCCTACATTTTATATGTCTGTTGGTGTGATTTGTGTTTTTCGTTTATTGAAGTATTACCATATAACAGGACTCTTTTATTTCAATATACACAAAAACAACAACACCTTCGGAATGATTTCAGACATATACTGCGGGAAAACACGAGTGATCTCCCTTACATTTAGACATGCGCACATTTTACTTTCGTTTTGTGTAGGCCTAGACATCATTCGCAACGCGAAGCGGAAAAGACGAAAATGCAGGCGAGTGTTGACTTAATGTTAGGCATGTTGTTTAAGCAGCATTGACAATGAACAATATACATACACTTCTGCAACGTTTACCTACTACTGATTCATAAATAAGGCTATGTATCCCGATTTCGGTGACTTGTGGCCAAGCATGCGGCCGAAGCCGCAGAGAATGGCGCATGTTGTCAGCGGCGATGACAAAAAGGAAGGTGCTTCTACGGTATGTATAGCAGTTATTATGCAAAAACAAACATAATAAACGGACGTTTTACTCTAGTGAATTACAGCGTCACGAGGAACGTCTTTCTCCAGACGTGTTGCAAAATTTTCGAACTGCTTAGTTGCAAACTGATTTCACTTAAGCGTTGTTTGTGAGGATATTTGGCCTTACATTTCTTCTCATTCAGTTAAAAAAAAACATGTTATAAACATTGTATTATTAGATTCATTGTGATGTTGGCTTTCATTGAAGTTTCAATTGTTATACTACTTGATGTTTTGGAAACTTAAACAAGTATAGTAGTTCTAAATATTATGAAATGACAGAAACATTAGGCCAAACAAATTACTTGTGTTTCTACTATCAGAAAAAAATAGGGTAGGTATGTATTAGCTAGGCATTTTATTGTTAATTTGAAAAATATCTTTACTGCGCTAATATAGAGCAGGAGTTCTGACTTTAACAGTGCATATAAAAACTTAAGGGTATTGTAGAACACAAATCTGAGATAAGTCTGGTTAACCACACTGGTGTCGAACACACCAATAAGTATAGTGTGTATAATATATCATAGTTTATACACATCATATTACTATTAGTGTGTCCAGTATCTGTGGGGTTAGCATAAACTCAATATTTGTTTTAAACTTTTAATTGGCCTTATATAATGATCATTTATAGGTCAGACAGGGTTTGGTTTCCAATTCGGAAACTAGACCTGTTAAAACAGTTATCATTTGTAATTTAGAGATTAAATATTTCTAAGCAGAAAAAAATGAACTATAAATATTTTTCAACCTTTTCTGAGTTGTACAATTTTAGAGTATCTTCTGTCTGAAATCTGAACATAACTTGTTTTATGATAAATGTGTAAAACAATTCCTCATACTGGGGTAAAGTTTTTCTATATATAGTCCCAAAAACTACAGATAAAATCCTTGAGCACGTACAAGATACAAAAATATATATTTTACGTCCATTTTGCAAAACATACAACATAAGCTACAAAGACAAAACATGAGTATAATAACAGAGACCAAAATATTACAACATGGAAAAATAAAATAAAAACATGTATGTACATGTAGTATACTGTAAGCTCAGAAAAAGAGTTTATCACTTGGAAAGCACTTAATAGGCACATTGAACACGGTAAGCACATCAGCACATGGTAATTTAAGCACATTTAGAACATTTGCATACAGCACATAAAAAACAAAACCATAACATGGAAAGCTTATTAGCACATAGTAGGCACATTTGCACATTGTAAGCAAAATAAAGGAGTGCAATGGACATCTCCATGTTTCCTGGTTAATTTCTTCTTTATGGAAACAACCAGGGGAGAGTGATGTTCTGCTTCATCTTTTGTATTAATGAAAACCGTGAATATCTAAGTGCGTGTGTTTAAACTAATTTTGTTTTGTTTTTACTGGTACCTTTTTATGTACACATGTTTTACCACCTAAGGAATTAGATGTCTTAAGCCCCCATATGATGTGCTGTTATAAGTTGAATTTAATGTACATTTTGTTTATATTTAGTTCTGCTACCAAAGAGATTGACTTATTGAAATGTTTTTGAAACATTTTAATGAACTCCTCAGCTTTAATGCCTTATTTCTCACTATACAAGCTCATATTGCTATGCCTCCTATTTGTTTGAATATCATCTCTAAACATTATTGCTGGTGCAGAAATTATATGGTAACTATGTTCTATTTTAGGGGGGGAAAGCAATCAATATTACAACAGACAGGGATGGTTATTGATGGGAGAAAGGAGGATGAGAAATAGGAACTGTACCAACTCTCTCATACCTTTGAGGACTTCATGAACTTTTTCAAAAGGCTGCAAGAACTATACCAACAGTGACATGACATTTTGAAATCTGTCAGTTACTTTATAGAGGAGGAACCTCTGACTAAATCATTTTCTCTCAGACACATGAAAGCCGAGTCCACAGATCCTTCCATCAGCGAATAGTTCAAATGTAGTTCAAATGCTTTCCTCGCAAACTTTTCCTTAATGGAGAAGTCAGTGATCTTTACTTGGAACAGATTGAATCTGTGAATATTGATGCTGAAAGCCTGATGAATGTGATTGAACAGCCCCTACTTGATGCTGAAACCCTGATGAATGTGATTGAACACCCACTACTGACTAAGGGCACAAATGTTGGAAACAACGTTTGTTTTGATCAATATAACACTATGGGTGGTGGGAGCAAATTGGAAAAAAAATTAAAAGTATGTTTTTAAAGATAGAAATACTGGTCATGGCTTCCTTTTAGTTTTTGTCCAATGAATTAAAAGTCAACGCAAATGTTAAGTAGTAAAAGAAATGTAAGATCCCTGGTATACATTGTACTTTTAACAATGCTTATGATCAATATCAATAAAATAAAATAAAAGTTATAATATGTAACTTGATATTTGTTAACTTCGCTCGATTTTACTGTGTCCAACATTTGATATTAAATCTTGTGTGATATATGAGAGGGATAGCACACAAGATTGTATCAATGTCAATGAAAGCAATTATTTCTTAAGTTTTCAACCATATTTCTTGAAACTTCATTTCTAAATTTCATACATCAATTGTTCAAGACAGTTTTAAGGTCAATTTCATTCAGTCAAGGTGAAGGCTACAGCTTCACAACCTGTTCATGTACATGTGACAGAGAAATTGTCAGTGCATTCCTAACTAAGTATTCAAACCAAATTTTATAAACCTTGATCCATCATTCTCAACATTAAATCATGCACTACCTGTTTGCATATACACAAGCAACCTCAACTTTCAATAAGTCCTGTTGTCAACATTTGTTGCACAATGCTATCAGTTCTGAAACCAACAATCATGACAACTGTAATAACATAGTATGTGTTCTAGCTGGTACATTTGCAGTACTCTTTTGAAATGTATTTGAAATTAATATGTGCATCTTATTTCAAATGCTAGCCTATGAAGATGATAAAGCTGAACATATGCTATAAAGTTGTTGTTTTCTTTGTGAAGAATTTATGCAATGGAAATAGAGGGAAAATAATGTAACTCTCCTAATCTTGTGTGTGTGTGTGAGTATGTATGTTTATATTTTGTTTATCTTATTCAATATTGAAACATACAACAATGTATCATATTGAATTAGAGTGCTTTTTATATTATTTGTTCATGGGAACACAGATTCAAAATAGTTCCATTTTTCATAAGAAGAGACCTTTTCACTGCAGTGAATATGTAAAACACTTTATTTAAAAGTTTTTCAAAATTATTGAGAGACTTGTAAATTTATGGGTAGCAGTAATCCACTTGCTTATCCACAATTTAGTTTCGGCAAGTAAACATCCTTATAAATATTGTTCTGTAACAATATACACTGACTGATGCAAAATTGAAACTTGAACAAAATTCACACGTATTAAAAAGCATGCCAACCCTGGTCGATGTGCACACTTTACAAGATAACTTGCTTGAATATATATTGATCAATATACAAACTTAGACGATAAGTTCAAAGTTGAGTGAAATCCATGCCTAATTAATTAGCATACTGTACTCTGATTGGTCAATGGTTTTATGCCAAGTAACTTTGTTAGATAAGGCAAGGGTTGATATCTTATTCAACAACAAAGGCAAAGTTCAAAGATGTTCACAATCTGTGCATAATCTATTCAATGGTTTAAAATAATCAGGTATTGGTCAAAGGGGTAAATGCCAGTTTCAGTTTTTAATGTTCTATGAAATACATTGTATGGACAAAGGGAAGCAATTCCAAATTCCTATGCAAATTAATTATCCAAAGGTTTAAAATGATATATTCTAGAGGAAACTTGGTACCACTCTTCTGACAAACCTATAAAGATATACTGTACACACAAGAAGAATAACTTCACAGTGGTACACTTTTACATAAAACTTTGATTCATAACAAATTAACAGTAAATCCTTCTGTACAATATGATGGGAACTTCGTCTTTATTTTGTTCTCCATTCCAAAAATAATATATATATCTTTTGCCTTAGCTTTCAGTACTTTCAGTACTTTGATTGTCGATTGAAATCTGTTCATATCTTGAACCAATATAATACAACTACAGTGTTTTTATCAAACAAAATATCTATTATGATTGCAGGTGTATCTTGGCAACTCTGTCACATGATCACAGACTGTTGTTGTATAGCACACAGGACACCCAGTCAACTTGGAGTCTGGTAAGTTATAGGTAAAGTAGGACCCCCAGTCTGAGTCTGGTAAGTTGTATGTAAAGTAGGACCCCCAGTCGGAGTCTGGTAAGTTATAGGTAAAGTAGGACCCCCAGTCTGAGTCTGGTAAGTTGTATGTAAAGTAGGACCCCCAGTCGGAGTCTGGTAAGTTATAGGTAAAGTAGGACCCCCAGTCTGAGTCTGGTAAGTTGTATGTAAAGTAGGACCCCCAGTCGGAGTCTGGTAAGTTATAGGTAAAGTAGGACCCCCAGTCTGAGTCTGGTAAGTTGTATGTAAAGTAGGACCCCCAGTCTGAGTCTGGTAAGTTGTAGGTAAAGTAGGACCCCCAGTCTGTGTCTGGTAAGTTGTAGGTAAAGTAGGACCCCAGTCGGAGTCTGGTAAGTTGTAGGTAAAGTAGAACCCCCAGTCTGTGTCTGGTAAGTTGTAGGTAAAGTAGGACCCCAGTCGGAGTCTAGTAAGTTGTATGTAAAGTAGGACCCCCAGTCAGTGTCTGGTAAGTTGTAGGTAAAGTAGGACCCCAAGTCTGTCTGGTAAGTTGTAGGTAAAGTAGGACCCCAGTCGGAGTCTGGTAAGTTGTAGGTAAAGTAGGACCCCAGTCGGAGTCTCGTAAGTTGTATGTAAAGTAGGACCCCGATCAGAGTCTGGTAAGTTGTAGGTAAAGTAGAACCCCCAGTCTGTGTCTGGTAAGTTGTAGGTAAAGTAAGACCCCAGTCGGAGTCTGGTAAGTTGTATGTAAAGTAGGACCCCCAGTCAGTGTCTGGTAAGTTGTAGGTAAAGTAGGACCCCAAGTCGGAGTCTGGTAAGTTGTAGGTAAAGAAGAACCCCCAGTCTGAGTCTGGTAAGTTGTAGGTAAAGTAGGACCCCAGCCGGAGTCCTTTAAGTTATAGGTAAAGTAGAACCCCCAGTCTGAGTCTGGTAAGTTGTAGGTAAAGTAGGACCCCAAGTCGGAGTCTGGTAAGTTGTATGTAAAGTAGGACCCCAAGTCGGTGTCTGGTAAGTTATAGGTAAAGTAGGACCCCGGTCAGAGTCTGGTAAGTTATAGGTAAAGTAGAACCCCCAGTCGGTGTCTGGTAAGTTGTATGTAAAGTAGGACCCCAGTCAGAGTCTGGTAAGTTGTATGTACAGTATTACCCCCAGTCGATGTCTGGTAAGTTATAGGTAAAGTAGGACCCCCAGTCTGAGTCTGGTAAGTTGTAGGTAAAGTAGGACCCCAGTCAGAGTCTGGTAAGTTGTATGTACAGTATTACCCACAGTCGATGTCTGGTAAGTTATAGGTAAAGTAGGACCCCCAGTCGGAGTCTGGTAAGTTGTAGGTAAAGTAGGACCCCAGTCAGAGTCTGGTAAGTTATAGTTAAGTAGAACCCCCAGTCGGTGTCTGGTAAGTTGTATGTAAAGTAGGACCCCAGTCAGAGTCTGGTAAGTTGTATGTACAGTATTACCCCCAGTCGGTGTCTGGTAAGTTATAGGTAAAGTAGGACCCCCAGTCGGAGTCTGGTAAGTTATAGGTAAAGTAGGACCTCCAGTCGGTGTCTGGTAAGTTATAGGTAAAGTAGGACACAAGTCGGTGTGTGGTAAGCTATAGGTAAAGTAGGACCCCCAGTCGGAGTCTGGTAACTTATAGGTAAAGTAGGACCCCCAGTTGGAGTCTGGTAAGTTAAAGGTAAAGTAGGACCCCCAGTCGGAGTCTGGTAAGTTAAAGGTAAAGTAGGACCCCCAGTCGGAGTCTGGTAAGTTTTAGGTAAAGTAGGACCTCCAGTCGGTGTCTGGTAAGTTATAGGTAAAGTAGGACCCCCAGTCGGTGTCTGGTAAGTTGTAGGTAAAGTAGGACCCCCAGTCGGTGTCTGGTAAGTTGTAGGTAAAGTAGGACCCCCAGTCGGTGTCTGGTAAGTTATAGGTAAAGTAGGACCCAAGTCGGTGTGTGGTAAGCTATAGGTAAAGTAGGACTCCCAGTCGCAGTCTGGTAAGCTATAGGTAAAGTAGGACCCCCAGTCGCAGTCTGGTAAGCTATAGGTAAAGTAGGAACCCCAGTCGGAGTCTGGTAAATTATAGGTAAAGTAGGACCCCCAGTTGGAGTCTGGTAAGTTATAGGTAAAGTAGGACCCCCAGTCAGAGTCTGGTAAGTTGTAGGTAAAGTAAGACCCCAGTCGGAGTCTGGTAAGTTGTATGTAAAGTAGGACCCCCAGTCAGTGTCTGGTAAGTTGTAGGTAAAGTAGGACCCCCAGTCGCAGTCTGGTAAGTTATAGGTAAAGTAGGACCCCCAGTCGGAGTCTGGTAAGTTATAGGTAAAGTAGGACCCCCAGTCGCAGCCTGGAAAGTTGTTAGGGATACATGTACAAGACAGCCAGTCAACCATTGTGTCTAGTCAGTTAATACAACCAGCTTCATGTTATGCTGTACTTAAATTGTAGACTTTTTACAGTTTCGTTATTTACTTCAACAACTGATTTTAAAATCAACAAATTCTAATATGATAACATTATAAAGAATAGAAAATGTAATAAAATCCTGTGTAAAAGTATTCTTATTTTCAGTAGTATGCTGAAAGGAGAAGTAAGGTTTCTTAAATTAATTTGTTTGTGAAAGCGAAGAAACCACTTGCAGAACAAATTATATGTGCCCCTAAGGATTGTTTTTTTTGGATCTTGACAAAATTAAGAAGATATAATTTATTTTGTACTTTGTTTTTTACCACACAGGTAGCTGACCTGTCTAAATTGTACCTAGAGAATTCTGAGTGGAAAAATACAGATCGTACTGACATCAACTACTTGAAAACCAAGATGTACAGTCTTTCAGCTCTAGGTGTGTATATGTATGTACATATAGAGACAATAGAGACCTTTTGAACTATCAAAGGGACTCCTGGGAAATGTGATCCAAAATGAAGTTTTAAAGCCATTTTAAAATTAATTTCACTATCTGTAACTATGTTACATGACGTTAGGTATATACTTTAATTCTAAGCTTATTAGCTCACCGGGTCTGAAGGACCAAGGTCAGCTTATGCCATACCGTGGCGTCCGTCGTCCGTCCGTCAACAATTTCTTTAAACAACTTCTTCTTCTTAACCACTGATTGGAATTTAACTAAATTTGACTGGAAGCATCCCTAGGTGGTGGGGATTCAAAATTGTACAAATGGTGGGGCTGACCCCCCCAGGGGGCTGGGGGGTGGGGCAAAAAGGGGGCGATTTGGCTATATTGCTTTAAGCGACATCTCCTCTGGAACTAAGAGATGGATATCAACCATATTTGACTGGAAGCATCCCTAGGTGGTGTGGATTCAAAATTGTACAAATGGTTGGGCTGAGGGGTGGGGCCAAAAGGGGGGGGCATTTTGGCTATATTGCTACAAACGACCTCTTCTGTAGAACTATGCACTGGATATCAATCATATTTAATCAGAAGCATTGATGGGAGGCAGGGATTCAAAATTGTACAAATGGTGTGGCTGACACCCGTGGCAGCTGAGGGGCGGGGCCAAAAAGGGTTATTTAGCTATACTACTTTAAGCGACTTCTTCTCTGGAACTAAGAGATAGATATCAACCATATTTGACTGGAAGCATCCCTAGGTGGTGGGGATTCAAAAGTGTACAAATGGTGGGGCTGACCCCCCAGGAGGCTGAGGGCTGGGCCAAAAGGGGGCAATTTGGCTATACTGCTATACACATGGATATATTGATCATATTTGGTTGGAAGCATTCATGGGAGGCAGGGATTCAAAATTGTACAAATGGTGGGGCTGACCCCCCGGGCTAAGGGGTGGGGCCAAAAAGAAATATTACTTGGAAATGGTTGAGATCCCCACCATATAACCATATACATACAATTGCTGAGTATAAAGAGAGGAATGCACATTTGCTTCCAGGATGGCTATAGCGTCTCGCCCCACCCTTGGAGACTTAACCCCTGGGTCATAACTTTGAAACGGTTAAGATCCCCACCCCAAAACTATATATACAATTGTTGGGCATAAAGAGACGAATGCAGTCATGATATTAGAATTGACCCCAGGGTCTGCCCCACCCTTGCAGACATAACCCCTGGGTAATAACTTTGAAACGGTTGAGATCCCCAACCAAAAACTATATATACAAATGCTGGCAGTCATGATATTAGAACAGTCATGATATTAGAGTTGATCCTGGGGTCTGGCCACAACCCTAGGGACCTAGTTTCTGAGTCACAGCTTGGAAACAGTTGAGATCCCCACCCCATAACCATACATAAAATTGCTGGGCATAAAAAATCAAATACAGATATGCTACAAGGATTGGCCTTGGGGTCTGGCATATTCCCTTGGATCTCATTTGGAGAATATTTTGACATGATTGCTTAGATATCCAGGTGAGCGATACAGGCCCTCTGGGCCTCTTGTTAACTATTTCTCTGTGAACTACGGAGGCATATCTACATGTGTAGTAGGTAAGGGAAGTAATACTGCTTACTCTGACATATTCGTCCAGTCAGATCAAGTAGACAACTGGCTTGTGAATATTTTTGTCTTGTTCAAATGTAGGAAATTAAGGCCTATATGTACCATTTTAATTAACAATAAGTATATAAAGTAATTTCACATACAATATCAAATGAAGATATATGTTTTAAATTCAGTATGAAGCTTTTATCATTTCTCATTCTTGGTATAAAATATTCAGTGTGATAAATGGAACTTGTAGATTCAACAAAATATTACTCAAGCTTGATTTAGAATGTCTACTCATAACAAAACTTGTTTTTCTCTGTTGAAGATTTCAGGGAATTCTTTTGTAAAGTAGCTTGTTGAATTGATACTATATATTTATTTGAAAAAATAAAATCCAGAAATGGCTTGGACCACAACATGTACCGAGAGGAATGCCAATTGCTCAACAGGGACAGCCATTTTATCTGTTGCCATGAGGAACGGTGATATTGTGCTTTGGTTGATCAAGTTTCCATGCCAGTCCCAGTAAGTCTAAAATTTGAAAGAAACTTCACTTGATTAATTTGCTGGATGCCCCTGCATTATCTGAGTTTGTATCAACAAGAGTTTACTTTAAGTATTTATTTCTCCCCAAATGTCTCTACTAGACAATGCTATGATTTTGAACTCTGCCTGTCTGTCTGTCTGTATTTAAATTTCTCCAAGACATTTCCCATTTATTTTTTTATCTGCAGTTGTCAAAGTTTGTATGTGAACACCTCTAGATACAGAGTTTCTTAGGAGTTGGTTACTATGAATTACATGGTACTCTGCCATGTATGTTGTTTGAGAGTTGGGGACTATGGATTACATGGTACCCGGGGACTATGGATTACATGGTACCCTGTCATGTATGTTGTTTGAGAGTTGGGTACTATGGATTACATGGTACTCTGTCATGTATGTTGTTTGAGAGTTGGGTACTATGGACTACATGGTACTCTGTCATGTATGTTGTTTGAGAGTTGGGTACTATGGATTACATGGTACTCTGTCATGTATGTTGTTTGAGAGTTGGGTACTATGGACTACATGGTACTCTGTCATGTATGTTGTTTGAGAGTTGGGTACTATGGATTACATGGTACTCTGTCATGTATGTTGTTTGAGAGTTGGGTACTATGGACTACATGGTACTCTGTCATGTATGTTGTTTGAGAGTTGGGGACTATGGATTACATGGTACTCTGTCATGTATGTTGTTTGAGAGTTGGGTACTATGGATTACATGGTACTCTGTCATGTATGTTGTTTGAGAGTTGGGGACTATGGATTACATGGTACTCTGTCATGTATGTTGTTTGAGAGTTGGGTACTATGGATTACATGGTACTCTGTCATGTATGTTGTTTGAGAGTTGGGGACTATGGATTACATGGTACTCTGTCATGTATGTTGTTTGAGAGTTGGGTACTATGGATTACATGGTACTCTGTCATGTATGTTGTTTGAGAGTTGGGGACTATGGATTACATGGTACTCTGTCATGTATGTTGTTTGAGAGTTGGGTACTATGGATTACATGGTACTCTGTCATGTATGTTGTTTGAGAGTTGGGGACTATGGATTACATGGTACTCTGTCATGTATGTTGTTTGAGAGTTGGGGACTATGGATTACATGGTACTCTGTCATGTATGTTGTTTGAGAGTTGGGTACTATAGACTTAATGGTACTCTGTCATGTATGTTGTTTGAGAGTTGGGGACTATGGACTACATGGTACTCTGTCATGTATGTTGTTTGAGAGTTGGGTACTATGGACTACATGGTACTCTGTCATGTATGTTGTTTGCAGGTGACAGGGTATATGTTGGTGTGCTAATCTCCTTGTGATAGCGCAGATCTAATGCCGACTTTATAGTGCTATCTCATTGAAATACCATGCTGAAGGCATCCAGCACAGCATTCCGCTCGGTCACATTATACTGACAACGGGTGAACCAGTTGTTGCCATTCCCCTAAATGCTGAATGTTAAGCAGGAAATAACAACTACCACTTTTAAGGACTTTGGTATGTCCCGGCCTGGGGACAGAACCTGTTGCCTTCCTCACCTGGGAGAACGCTCAACATTCAAGCCAAAAGTGAGGTGTTGCCAAGGAAGGCGCTAGGAAATAAATGGTAGTTAAAAGTAGAAAGAAAGATAAAGAACCCAAATATTGCAATGGGCACAGCAGATTTATTTTGGTCGCATTTGTGTCCCCATATAGAGGACACCAAAGTAAATCCCCAATTCTGCAAGGGGGTTCCCGCATTAGTCGCCTCCTATGATACATGCAGTGGGCAACAGCAGGTGTATTCTTTTCCCGATCCCCGACCTGCAGGGGTGAGTATGGAAGGGTAAGAACTAGTAAATTCCGAAAATTGATACACTACAATTTTTTTTTTTTTGTGTCATTTCTGAAGAACTTTAGCCCCTTAAAATTAAAGAGATACAGTAAACATAATGCTGATCCAGAGATAAAATAATGGTGCATGTTATATGGTATTGCACACTGACAATGTGCAATAACATGCAAGGTTATTTCATGTCTAGTATTACTATTTGTATGGGTAAAATGTTCACAATAATGTCCATAGGGAGGATTGCAAGCTTCTGAAGAAAATGACCTTCACCTCAAATGCTCCATCTGCAGTGGCATGGTCACAGACTCCAGTTACTATGGCAACAGGTATTACCTATTTATTATTTCTGAAATCATCTTATTGTATCTCCTAGCTAATTAGAAACTCTCTATTAAAACATACATTACAACTATTATGTACATGTTATAAACTTATAAACTTAATCACTCCTGCTGGCACGTATGGAAGCATACAGAGGGTTTAATAAAATATCAGTAATTCTTTTTTTTATTGTTGCACATCAAAGATGGTCAAGGTATCCTCTGATTGACATGATCAATATTATAAGCTACATGTATGGTTTGTTGTATTATAACAGGTACACAGCTGTAGACTTTATGGCTGTGGGATAGTAAGCTACCTGTATGGTTTGTTGTATTATAACAGGTACAGCTGTAGACTATATGGCTGTGGGATAGTAAGCTACCTGTATGGTTTGTTGTTTTATAACAGGTACAGCTGTAGACTTTATGGCTGTGGGATAGTAAGCTACATGTATGGTTTGTTGTATTATATAACAGGTACAGCTGTAGACTTTATGGCTGTGGGATAGTAAGCTACCTGTATGGTTTGTTGTTTTATAACAGGTACAGCTGTAGACTTTATGGCTGTGGGATAGTAAGCTACCTGTATGGTTTGTTGTATTATAACAGGTACAGCTGTAGACTTTATGGCTGTGGGATAGTAAGCTACCTGTATGGTTTGTTGTATTATAACAGGTACAGCTGTAGACTTTATGGCTGTGGGATAGTAAGCTACCTGTATGGTTTGTTGTATTATAACAGGTACAGCTGTAGACTTTATGGCTGTGGGATAGTAAGCTACCTGTATGGTTTGTTGTATTATAACAGGTACAGCTGTAGACTTTATGGCTGTGGGATAGTAAGCTACCTGTATGGTTTGTTGTATTATAACAGGTACAGCTGTAGACTTTATGGCTGTGGGATAGTAAGCTACCTGTATGGTTTGTTGTATTATAACAGGTACAGCTGTAGACTTTATGGCTGTGGGATAGTAAGCTACCTGTATGGTTTGTTGTATTATAACAGGTACAGCTGTAGACTTTATGGCTGTGGGATAGTAAGCTACCTGTATGGTTTGTTGTATTATAACAGGTACAGCTGTAGACTTTATGGCTGTGGGATAGTAAGCTACCTGTATGGTTTGTTGTATTATAACAGGTACAGCTGTAGACTTTATGGCTGTGGGATAGTAAGCTACCTGTATGGTTTGTTGTATTATAACAGGTACAGCTGTAGACTTTATGGCTGTGGGATAGTAAGCTACCTGTATGGTTTGTTGTATTATAACAGGTACAGCTGTAGACTTTATGGCTGTGGGATAGTAAGCTACCTGTATGGTTTGTTGTATTATAACAGGTACAGCTGTAGACTTTATGGCTGTGGGATAGTAAGCTACCTGTATGGTTTGTTGTATTATAACAGGTACAGCTGTAGACTTTATGGCTGTGGGATAGTAAGCTACCTGTATGGTTTGTTGTATTATAACAGGTACAGCTGTAGACTTTATGGCTGTGGGATAGTAAGCTACATGTATGGTTTGTTGTATTATAACAGGTACAGCTGTAGACTTTATGGCTGTGGGATAGTAAGCTACCTGTATGGTTTGTTGTATTATAACAGGTACAGCTGTAGACTTTATGGCTGTGGGATAGTAAGCTACCTGTATGGTTTGTTGTATTATAACAGGTACAGCTGTAGACTTTATGGCTGTGGGATAGTAAGCTACCTGTATGGTTTGTTGTATTATAACAGGTACAGCTGTAGACTTTATGGCTGTGGGATAGTAAGCTACCTGTATGGTTTGTTGTATTATAACAGGTACAGCTGTAGACTTTATGGCTGTGGGATAGTAAGCTACCTGTATGGTTTGTTGTATTATAACAGGTACAGCTGTAGACTTTATGGCTGTGGGATAGTAAGCTACCTGTATGGTTTGTTGTTTTATAACAGGTACAGCTGTAGACTTTATGGCTGTGGGATAGTAAGCTACCTGTATGGTTTGTTGTATTATAACAGGTACAGCTGTAGACTTTATGGCTGTGGGATAGTAAGCTACCTGTATGGTTTGTTGTATTATAACAGGTACAGCTGTAGACTTTATGGCTGTGGGATAGTAAGCTACCTGTATGGTTTGTTGTATTATAACAGGTACAGCTGTAGACTTTATGGCTGTGGGATAGTAAGCTACCTGTATGGTTTGTTGTATTATAACAGGTACAGCTGTAGACTTTATGGCTGTGGGATAGTAAGCTACCTGTATGGTTTGTTGTATTATAACAGGTACAGCTGTAGACTTTATGGCTGTGGGATAGTAAGCTACCTGTATGGTTTGTTGTATTATAACAGGTACAGCTGTAGACTTTATGGCTGTGGGATAGTAAGCTACCTGTATGGTTTGTTGTATTATAACAGGTACAGCTGTAGACTTTATGGCTGTGGGATAGTAAGCTACATGTATGGTTTGTTGTATTATAACAGGTACAGCTGTAGACTTTATGGCTGTGGGATAGTAAGCTACCTGTATGGTTTGTTGTATTATAACAGGTACAGCTGTAGACTTTATGGCTGTGGGATAGTAAGCTACCTGTATGGTTTGTTGTATTATAACAGGTACAGCTGTAGACTTTATGGCTGTGGGATAGTAAGCTACCTGTATGGTTTGTTGTATTATAACAGGTACAGCTGTAGACTTTATGGCTGTGGGATAGTAAGCTACCTGTATGGTTTGTTGTATTATAACAGGTACAGCTGTAGACTTTATGGCTGTGGGATAGTAAGCTACCTGTATGGTTTGTTGTATTATATAACAGGTACAGCTGTAGACTTTATGGCTGTGGGATAGTAAGCTACCTGTATGGTTTGTTGTATTATAACAGGTACAGCTGTAGACTTTATGGCTGTGGGATAGTAAGCTACCTGTATGGTTTGTTGTATTATAACAGGTACAGCTGTAGACTTTATGGCTGTGGGATAGTAAGCTACATGTATGGTTTGTTGTATTATAACAGGTACAGCTGTAGACTTTATGGCTGTGGGATAGTAAGCTACCTGTATGGTTTGTTGTATTATAACAGGTACAGCTGTAGACTTTATGGCTGTGGGATAGTAAGCTACCTGTATGGTTTGTTGTATTATAACAGGTACAGCTGTAGACTTTATGGCTGTGGGATAGTAAGCTACCTGTATGGTTTGTTGTATTATAACAGGTACAGCTGTAGACTTTATGGCTGTGGGATAGTAAGCTACCTGTATGGTTTGTTGTATTATAACAGGTACAGCTGTAGACTTTATGGCTGTGGGATAGTAAGCTACCTGTATGGTTTGTTGTATTATAACAGGTACAGCTGTAGACTTTATGGCTGTGGGATAGTAAGCTACCTGTATGGTTTGTTGTATTATAACAGGTACAGCTGTAGACTTTATGGCTGTGGGATAGTAAGCTACCTGTATGGTTTGTTGTATTATAACAGGTACAGCTGTAGACTTTATGGCTGTGGGATAGTAAGCTACCTGTATGGTTTGTTGTATTATAACAGGTACAGCTGTAGACTTTATGGCTGTGGGATAGTAAGCTACCTGTATGGTTTGTTGTATTATAACAGGTACAGCTGTAGACTTTATGGCTGTGGGATAGTAAGCTACCTGTATGGTTTGTTGTATTATAACAGGTACAGCTGTAGACTTTATGGCTGTGGGATAGTAAGCTACCTGTATGGTTTGTTGTATTATAACAGGTACAGCTGTAGACTTTATGGCTGTGGGATAGTAAGCTACCTGTATGGTTTGTTGTATTATAACAGGTACAGCTGTAGACTTTATGGCTGTGGGATAGTAAGCTACCTGTATGGTTTGTTGTATTATAACAGGTACAGCTGTAGACTTTATGGCTGTGGGATAGTAAGCTACCTGTATGGTTTGTTGTATTATAACAGGTACAGCTGTAGACTTTATGGCTGTGGGATAGTAAGCTACCTGTATGGTTTGTTGTATTATAACAGGTACAGCTGTAGACTTTATGGCTGTGGGATAGTAAGCTACCTGTATGGTTTGTTGTATTATAACAGGTACAGCTGTAGACTTTATGGCTGTGGGATAGTAAGCTACATGTATGGTTTGTTGTTTTATAACAGGTACAGCTGTAGACTTTATGGCTGTGGGATAGTAAGCTACATGTATGGTTTGTTGTATTTGAACAGGTACAGCTGTAGATTTTATGGCTGTGGGATACCAGAATGGAAGGGTAGACCTAACATCTGTTAACTTAGAGGACGGCAGTATTGTATCATCGCTGTCCCTCCATACTGATGAAGATTTACTGACAGCCAGTTGCCTTTATATGAAAATGATTTCACAGGTAAGAACTGATCAGGTGTTAGAAGGATGGAATTTGGTATGGTCTTAATACAAAAACTGTGCTATGCTGAAGTTTCCTGTTCAATTTGTAAAAAAAAACAAAAAAAAAACATAACCTTTAACCCTAAATGAAGAGTCAATTAATCACATGTCTTGCCCGTTTGGTCAAATTACAGCTATTCAAGTAATGTCAAATTTAAGCAAATTAAATTAAAAAGATAGATACTGCTATAGAATGCAAACATTTTAATGGGGAACTACATGTATTTAGGATTCAATATCCTGTAAAATATCTTCTCACAAGTTTTTTGTTTGAGTTTGCATTGTAAGATGGATATTGAGCTTGAAATAATTTATTAATTAGAGGTGTGTTAGTTTTACTGTTTACAATTAGAAGTTTTTTTACCTGCCTATTGTAATATTGAAATATATTTTACAGGACCAACTTCTGGTGCTGTTTGCTAAGGAGTGTTTTCTGATGGCATATGTAGTGAAAATCAGTGACGGCAGCTTGCGTTTACTTCATAACAGTCATGTGATGGTGGCCACCACGCTGTATATTACAGGTAAAATAGTAATGCTGTTATATCTGGAAAATTCACTTACTCATTAATTTATGCATTTCATGGTCTCAAATTTCATTGTTGAAATATCACAGACTATATATGTAGGTTTTGAGTGCTTAGAAGGGTAACTATAATAAGGTAAGGCTCATGCTCACAACTGATATAGAACAATAAAAACACCACTGCCTTGTCCTACTCGCACTGAATTCCAAACCACACTTTGTAGTATTTTACATACAAATGGACAACATAGCTTGGAATTTAACATTTCTCCCTGTCACCATATGATGGCGATGATGACGTTAACGTTGGTACTGTTTAACAGCCAGTATCCTCCAGTTACGTACATCTGTCACGGCATGTTTAACGACGTCGTCAAAATCCATCATGGGTTCCACTCCCGATACACACATATTCTCTACTTGGGATATGTCACGGCCTAATTATCAAAGGCGTGCTTTTAGACCAAGACTACTACCTGCCCATTGAATATTACAGAAGTACTACACCTTACTTCAAATTGAATGTTTCTCTCCTAAGCATCCCAACTTACCAATGCACAATGGCAGCCTATCTCCACAGCTCTCCAACCCTTCTCCTCTTTTGTCATCATCTCCCAAATCATAACGTGGAATTTTAGACTCCTTTATTAGTTCTTTGTCTCAATATGCCAAAGAGCATTATCATATCATGATCTGTATTCTACTGTAGCTGTACATCGAATTGCTCAATTTTTTTTCCTGATGAGTTTGTGTAACACAGTGATATGAGAGTTGTTTACCTTACACAGCTGTGTGTTACAAAGAGGAGGTGTTACTCCTGTCTACCTGTGATGGTCTGCTCTTCAAGGGAAGCGTCAGTGTCACAAATAAAGGTGAGTTGCTAAGTTTTCAAACTTAAAACAAGTCATCATGAAGTTCAAAAGTCTATAACTGCTGAAATAAGTTGATGGTCAATCTCTGACCCAGTGTTTAGCTGATACATTTGTTTTGTTCTGCCTAGATTTGATGAAGATATGATATATCTTTGTTTGAAATGATACGTGTAGACCAGACTAGCTCATCACTGTGTGTGGCTCTGTATGATACGTGTAGACCCGACTAGCTCATCACTGTGTGTGACTATGTATGATACATGTAGACCAGACTAGCTCATCTCTGTGTGTGGCTCTGTATGATCCGTGTAGACCAGACTAGCTTATCTCTGTGTGTGGCTCTGTATGATACGTGTAGACGAGACTAGCTCATCACTGTGTGTGGTTCTGTATGATACGTGTAGACCCGACTAGCTCATCACTGTGTGTGGCTTTGTATGATACGTGTAGACCAGCCTAGCTCATCACTGTGTGTGGCTTTGTATGATACGTGTAGACCAGACTCGCTCATCACTGTGTGTGGCTCTGTCTGATACGTGTAAACCAGACTAGCTCATCACTGTGTGTGGCTCTGTATGATACGTGTAAACCAGACTAGCTTATCACTGTGTGTGACTCTGTATGATACGTTTAGACCAGACTAGCTTATCACTGTGTGTGGCTCTGTATGATACGTGTAGACCAGACTAGCTTATCACTGTGTGTGGCTCTGTATGATACCGCTGGGGATCCGGAATAGGGGATTTTTTATTTTTGTGTGTAATCAGCAATAAGACCATGTCTGGGACAAATCCCACCGATATCTTTTGTAATTCAGTAGAAATCCCACCAACAGTTATTTCATCACCCTGTAATAAACCCACCCCCTGCTTAATAAGATGTTATGGCCGCTTTCGTTAATCGCGATCCGAACGGTTGGACCAGAGTTGTTCGTTTATGAAATATGGTAGGACCGAGTAATCTGATGCTGCTGTGAGGGAAACCTTGCAAGGCCTGCATAAACATTTGCAGGTCCGCCAGGATTTATACCCAAAAATGTTACATATAAAAACAGGCAAACCTGTTGTTCTGCATAAATGAATAGGCCCTTTGTGTTGGTCCACTGGGCTTATTGCAGAAGAAATATTAGTACCATAAATTGATTATTCAAAAAACAGTTAATTTGGATATGTGGATATAAGTATAAAAATTGTGTATCGCTTAAATTTGCTCTAGTTCAGACAAAACATATGTGGAACTGCAAAAGAAGATACAAACATTCAAGTTAGTAATAGAAAAATCACTATAACATTGCATACTTTCCAACTTTAATTTTCTGACCCCTAGAGAAAAAATACTTCTTTAAAATGACAAATTTGAGTTGTTCTTTCAGATGAAATTATTAGATCTTAGAATATTAGTAATAGTTTAACAAGCTCCCAGGTTGAATTGGAGGGTCCAGAATTGGGAGTCTCCCTCCTAAATAGGGAGAGTTGGCAGGTATGGTATCAAAACGATTAAGCCATTTATACTATTTATCACATAATGTACTGTGTTATCCAGTGAGTATATATATCCATGTCATATTTGTTTGCTTATTTGTCTATTTAATATGACCTATCAGCCCTGTGATTGGTTGTAAGTTTCAATTGTTTCAATTGTGACGTCACTCCTAGGACAAGTACACGACATCACAGACTTATGCACTGGAGTCAAAATGGCGGCTTTTTACATTTCAAGGTTGCATGAAAATTATCGTTTTACACAAATGAATGCCACAAATCTTGATTATGTGCTCGCCAGAGGCTCGCTAAATTGAAAAATTCTTAGACTCGTTTCATAAATCGCATATGAAATGGAAACTCATATATTACATCAATTTTCATGCTCATGTTTTTGGTAGGTGTGTCTATAAGTCTCAAGCAATGGAATACAGACTTTACACGCAGCACAGAAAACAATAGTGGGCAGTGTTACGGTGTTGACTTATCAGACAATTGTATGCTGATGTGTGCCCTCATGTCGTACGTATTACAAAACATATTCATCAAGTTTAACAGCTGTAGATATACAGAGTTGGGGGAAATCCTGGAATTTGAGAGCAGTAGGCCATTTTCAGCAATTTTTAGTCAATATCAAAATTAAAAGGGGGCATTCTATGTAAAATTAAAAGAAAATTGGGGTCACTATCAGTTTTTAGGGTTCAGTGATCCCATGGCCGTTTCCAGGATTAACCATGCAGAGTTGGAGTTGTCAGAGTGACTTCGTTATATATTGTACCCCATACATCAGACATATCTTCCTAACATTATGTTTGAAGTCATTGTTTCATTCCGACATTATCAGATATTTTTCTGTCATGAATATACATGTACAGTTTACACATCAGTCCTAGGCCCTTTGAAAATCTCAAACACTGAATTGAGTGTCTTCATGTGTACTCTGAGGCTTCCTGATTCCGAATGTCTGATGCTATGTTATTTGAATGCATAATATAATGTGTCTTCATAATATATTGTGTTATCTGTATGCAATATGTAAAACCTTTGTCTCACTGTTCATATCTATCAATAATACTGTAAAGGTGTAGTTCCTTGTAATTTTTGTTCTGAATTACAGATCATCAAGAAAGGATTTTGGAACTTTTAAGGCGAAAATGTTCAAGAAACCTATGAACGTAAGATACATCATAAATATTTATTGCTATTTTTACCATTTAGATCTACATCCTGAAGTTTGTTTGTCAGTATAATTTAAGCCCGATAAGCCATATAATATAACTGTATAGTTGTTTATATTCACTGGGTTTACGTGAATGCATTAAAATTCGCAAAATTAAAACCGTTCTGAATATATTTTGAGATCTTCGTCTTAAGATCGTTGCTTCACATGTAACTTTTCAGCTTGATGTGCTTTATAATGTAGGATATACACACCGTATAGTTTATGTAACGTTACTGCTTGTTGCTAAGTAACAATACTCAGAACTGTTTGTGAGGTATTCTGAAATAGACTTACAGAAATTGTTATTCGTGAAATTAAACCCATGCAAAAAAGTTCTGGACACAAAATCACGACATTTTAACCCCAGGAAATTTATAACTACTATATAGCACTGTGGCCCAAGCTTATGGCCTGGCCTCGCTCATTGCTTTGCTGATTTCTTAGGGTTTCTCTCAAAGAACCCTATTCTCAGTGATTTCTCTAAATGATCCCCTGTGTCTGGTACTTCCCCTTGGTCTTCACACGCACATTATATACAGCCTATCCTTTTATCTTACAATCAGTATTTTCTGTTTAACTTTAAACTCCATTACAGCTGCATGTTCAGCCCATTATTCACGAATCTGATGAACTGGAGGAACTAAAGAAGAAAGTGGAGAGGATGATTAAGAATGAAACAGGTACAAAAATCCTAGGAAGAACAACAGTATGATTTGTTAAGAACATTTTGTAGTATCAAATATTTTCAACAAATGTTTTGCCTGAAGGAATAACAAACAAAGGCTGAAGAATGTTTCCTGTTTGTAAGCTTTAAGCAGGCCAGTCCTTCATGTACCAGGCTACAGTGGAATGTAATTGGTTTAGATGAGTCTGATACTCATCTTAACTTAAACAGAGCATACATGTATATATTGTTTTATATGTAGCTTCATTTCTGTACCCAGATATTTACAAAACTCCAATATCCATGTAATACCGGTACACGTGATAGCTCGTCACCTGTTGTTTGTGTGATGAGCTAGTGACGTACATAATGATTTTAAAACATCGTTTTCTGTTCCTCTGTTTCCATTACTCACTGTAGCGCCCTTGACGTGGATGGTGGACGTGATGGAGACGTTCCGTATACATCTGTGGCAGGGTAAAGACTTGGCCCCTGCAATCACTAATTACATCTCCAACCCCACCTCCTGGTATACCCTGCCTCTCAAAACACTCCGAGTCCTCAGGTACAGCTATGTAGGTTGACTGCTTCCTAGTGTGTCCTTTTGTGTCTGATGACACAGGCTATTATATCAAAAGGAAAAGAAGGTCGTCATGCTATTAATTCACATTCAGTTTTGAAAATGGCATTGAATTCTATATAACAAGCTCGTGATGAATTCCTACACTATTGTTTATTATGTGAAAATCTGCCGTTTTTGCAGGTATTTCTTAATCACCATCAATTTACACATACCAAGAAATCCAGATTCTACAGAACCAAACCAGGTATGTATGTTGGGTGTAAAACCAGGTATGTATGTCAGGTGTAAAACCAGGTATGTATGTCAGGTTTAAAACCAGGTGTGTATGTCAGGTGTAAAACCAGGTATGTATGTCAGGTGTAAAACCAGGTATGTATGTCAGGTGTAAAACCAGGTATGTATGTCAGGTGTAAAACCAGGTATGTATGTCAGGTGTAAAACCAGGTATGTATGTCAGGTGTAAAACCAGGTATGTATGTCAGGTGTAAAACCAGGTATGTATGTCAGGTGTAAAACCAGGTATGTATGTCAGGTGTAAAACCAGGTATGTATGTCAGGTGTAAAACCAGGTATGTATGTCAGGTGTAAAACCAGGTATGTATGTCAGGTGTAAAACCAGGTATGTATGTCAGGTGTAAAACCAGGTATGTATGTCAGGTGTAAAACCAGGTATGTATGTCAGGTGTAAAACCAGGTATGTATGTCAGGTGTAAAACCAGGTATGTATGTCAGGTGTAAAACCAGGTATGTATGTCAGGTGTAAAACCAGGTATGTATGTCAGGTGTAAAACCAGGTATGTATGTCAGGTGTAAAACCAGGTATGTATGTCAGGTGTAAAACCAGGTATGTATGTCAGGTGTAAAACCAGGTATGTATGTCAGGTGTAAAACCAGGTATGTATGTCAGGTGTAAAACCAGGTATGTATGTCAGGTGTAAAACCAGGTATGTATGTCAGGTGTAAAACCAGGTATGTATGTCAGGTGTAAAACCAGGTATGTATGTCAGGTGTAAAACCAGGTATGTATGTCAGGTGTAAAACCAGGTATGTATGTCAGATGTAAAACCAGGTATGTATGTCAGGTTTAAAACCAGGTATGTATGTCAGGTGTAAAACCAGGTATGTATGTCAGGTGTAAAACCAGGTATGTATGTCAGGTGTAAAACCAGGTATTTATGTCGGGTGTAAAACCAGGTATGTATGTCAGATGTAAAACCAGGTATGTATGTTAGGTGTAAAACCAGGTATGTATATGTCAGGTGTAAAACCAGGTATGTATATGTCAGGTGTAAAACCCTTTATGTCCAAATTCAGACAGGCTGATAAAGTTCAAACTTTTAAGAGTTATCCTTAAAATTCCTGAACAATTTAATTAAAGGAATAACAATGAAAAGTCCTAAATGTTAATTAAGGTTTATCTCAGAAAGGCTCAAAATTTAGAAAGAAAAGAAAATGAAAAAAGAAAAAAATACCTAGAGCTAATAATAAATAGGTTTCCCAAGCATATTTATTTTAAACTTATAAATACAGTGAAACTTTTAGAAGTTTTCAGAAGTCAACCTTATTCTCATTCTGTCTAGAATTCAAGATATTTCAGCCATTTCACACAAAGTAATTTCATTCAATTTTCAGAGATGACCAGTATTTATCAGGGTCAGAAATCTAAAAAGAATAAGTTGTTATTATGGACATTTTGTTAGAAATAATACCAGCATTAAGTTCTTTACGTACTGTAGAAGATGTTTTTGAAGTATGTGATGGTGAACATATTTAAGTTGATTTTGTTAAATATGCTGAGGGTATGTATATTATCTGTCCTCACAGGAAGTTGCTCTTGCGGAGAAAAATATACACAAAGTTAAAGACGTCATCATAGGAAGATACATTGTTGATTCCTTAGAGGTGCTTCAGAGTCGGAGGGCGAAAATGACCGAAAAAGGTGAGCTTAAATATAACAGCTCTTCTATCTAAACTTAGCAAACAGAAGTGTTACCATTAATGTTAAACCTGCTAGGCTGTAAAGTTTATTCTTGCACTCTGATTAACTGGACAATTTACCGATATATAGTTTAAAATCGCTTGTTTTTCTTTTCCTTACTTGTGAATATGTGCATTATTGCTGCTAACAGATTTGATTTTAGACTGAGAATCTCAGACTTACGATATGAGGATACGTGACAACCATTTAACCCTTTCACCACTGTGGACCATAATGGACTCATCTAGATCAATGCATGGTAGAGTCTACTAAAGTTACATATGGGTGAAAGGGTTAAACTAGGGTCAGATAGGAGTATTATTTTCACATCACTAAATAGCTACTGCTACAAATGTATGAAATGGAAACTCATTTTATGATCAGATATGTATTATGAATATAGCCTAGTAACATTGTTTGGTGTTATTTTAACTCCTATGTTTATGGTGTCCTGTTTGCTGTTTGTTTACAGATAAGTGTGTTTGTTCAAATATGCTTCGCTACATGGAACACCACCAGCAAAAATACGAGGACACACCACTTCACGCTAGGCTGGACACATTGAGACAATCCCTGGGCAAAATCGACACCAGCTCTCAAAGTTGTTGTGTTTGTGGAAAAAATATCCTTATTTCCTTATGTTATACATGTATAGCTAGGGAGTTGTGTTCATTCTGAGAGTACTCCATATTGATCACCTGTTCTTGTACTTTGAAATAGGAAGAACAATATTTATAAGTTATGAATGTATTGGTGGTGCTCGTTTAGATATTAAGACCTCTAGAATATTTATTCAAATTTTTAATTTGGACCAATCGAGAAAAAATTATTTATATTATCATTGGTGAAGGGGGTCCAAAATAGTTCAACCTGTTTTCCTTGACAAAGGTTTACCTGCAGCTATTGGTGATAACTACACACTCAGCTGTGACGAAGGGCACACGTTTGGTACGTTTACACAACACATCCTCTTATCACATCAGTCTCAAACTGTTGTTATCTTGACTTATTAAGGAAAAACCAAAGTAAATCCAGTATTTTCTGAATGCTTTCAATTTTGATTTTTTGATGTGATATATACCTTTATTGTATCATGAACTAAAACAAAGTTGTCAGAAACATGAAGTTCTGATTAAATTTATGGTTTTATTGAAACAAAAGATACTAGAAATTTCCAAGGTACATTAGTATCACGTACTGCTATCAATCAGTGGTACACGCCTGTAATGTTATTACATAATTCTGTTTATTAGTTATGGACTTTTGTTGAGGTAAATGCATGCATGCTTCAGGTCCATATAACATATATTTAGCGAAATAAAAGACCTGAATTTTTATAATAGATGTGAAATTATTATGCTTTTCCTCATAAGACAAGACAACCGCCCGTAAGCGAATCAGTAAGTGAAAAGTACTGGCAGAGAACATTGAGACATTACTATTGATGTGTAATCATAAAGAGAATATTGACCTGATGTTTCTAAAAATAGTAACACTGGGTCAATATCACAAATCAGTCTTCCCCATGGTTACCGTACAACCAATGAGGATGTAGACATAATGGATCATCTTATAGGTAATATTATTGTTCATTGTAAATTTAAACTTTAATTATTTTACATCTTTTATAAAATGAGTTATTTCAACTTATTTTAACTACTCTTGTTGGAAAACAGAGTACCCGGGGAAAACCCACATGGTCGGGCAGGTGACCCTAGACCTTTTCATGTCCGATCGGGGAATCAAACCCTGGTTACCTTGGTAAAAGGCAAGTGCGCTATCCTCTATACCACCCTACCATTGTTCGTTGTAAGCATGTGGAGTGAAGTAGGTCATATAACAGTATTAAGTATGTGTCATATATTCCAGGACTGTGTTGTCAAACTCTTCAACCCTGTACGGAAACTCAATATAGAACATGTAGCAACTGTAAACTACAGGCTGTATCTCACACCGACAGAACAGGTGAGCACTGTCAGTTAACAGACAAATAATAACTGTAAACTACAGGCTGTATCTCACACCGACAGAACAGGTGAGCACTGTCAATTAACAGACAAATAATAACTGTAAACTACAGGCTGTATCTCACACCGACAGAACAGGTGAGCACTGTCAATTAACAGACAAATAATAACTGTAAACTACAGGCGGTATCTCACACCGACAGAACAGGTGAGCACTGTCAATAAACAGACAAATAATAACTGTAAACTACAGGCTGTATCTCACACCGACATAACAGTTGAGCACTGTCAATTAACAGACAAATAATAACTGTAAACTACAGGCTGTATCTCACACCCAAAGAACAGGTGAGCACTCAGATAACAGACAAATAATAACTGTAAACTACAGGCGGTATCTGACACCGACAGAACAGGTGAGCACTGTCAATTCACAGACAAATAATAACTGTAAACTACAGGCGGTATCTCCCACCGACAGAACAGGTGAGCACTGTCAATTCACAGACAAATAATAACTGTAAACTACAGGCTGTATCTCACACCCAAAGAACAGGTGAGCACTCAGTTAACAGACAAATAATAACTGTAAACTACAGGCTGTATCTCGCACCGACAGAACAGGTGAGCACTGTCAATTAACAGACAAATAATAACTGTAGACTACAGGCTGTATCTCACACCCAAAGAACAGGTGAGCACTGTCAGTTAACAGACAAATAATAACTGTAAACTACAGGTTGTATCTCGCACCGACAGAACAGGTGAGCACTGTCAATTAACAGACAAATAATAACTGTAGACTACAGGCTGTATCTCACACCCAAAGAACAGGTGAGCACTGTCAGTTAACAGACAAATAATAACTGTAAACTACAGGCTGTATCTCACACCCACAGAACAGGTGAGCACTGTCAGTTAACAGACAAATAATATCTGTAAACTACAGGCTCTATCTCACACCCACAGAACAGGTGAGCACTGTCAGTTAACAGACAAATAATATTATCTCCCTTTGTTTGTAGTCAGAATGATCCAGGACTATATATATATAGCTATACAGAAATAAATTGCATGCTTAATTTTGAATGACCTCCCCTGGATCATTCTTCACAATCACCCCTAATTCCTAGATGGATTTATTGACTAAAAGTTTTGGAAAATACGTTATTTCTTTGCTTTGATATATTGTCTTGAACCATTAACATATAATAGTGGCATCATAAGTCAAACATGTTAATGATCCTGATTAGCTGGGAAACATAGTATGAACTCCCAGTAACCATAATTTGTAAAACGAATTGTAATATGTGTTTACTATTAACTGTACAAGTACATTGTATAAGTGAAAAAAAAGGAAAATGGAATAATGATTATATTATATTTTGTAGGATTACCATGGCTGGTTGAGGCATCAGAACACTGTACAATATGTGAGAGCTACTTATTTCCGTGTTTTTGATAAAACTCATGCAAAATGTGAGATATTATTTCTGCGAATGAAACATTGGAGATATCTTACATCTGTGTGTGATACATGTTGGAGAGGTATCTTAATTCTGTATGTGATACATGTGAGATATATCTTAATTCTGTATGTGATACATGTGAGATATATCTTAATTATGTGTGTGATACATGTGAGATATATCTTAATTATGTGTGTGATACATGTGAGAGATATCTTATTTCTTTATGTGATACATGAGAGATATTTTATGTCTGTGTGTATTTCTTTATGTGATACATGAGAGATATCTTATTTCTGTGTGTGATACATGTGAGAGATATCTTATTTCTGTTTGTGATACATATGACATATATCTTATGTCTGTATGTGATACATGTGAGAGTTATCATATGTCTGTGTGTGATACATGTGAGAGATATCTTATTTTTGTATGTGATACATGTGAGAGATATCTTATTTCTGTGTGTAATACATGTGAGAGATATTTTATTTCTGTGTGTAATACATGTGAGATATCTTATTTCTGTGTGTGATACAAGTGAGAGATATCTTATTTCTGTGTGTAATACATGTGAGAGATATTTTATTTCTGTGTGTAATACATGTGAAAGATATCTTATTTCTGTGTGTAATACATGTGAGAGATACTTTATTTCTGTGTGTAATACATGTGAGAGATACTTTATTTCTGTGTGTAATACATGTGAGATATATTTTATTTCTGTGTGTAATACATGTGATAGATATCTTATTTCTGTTTGTGATACATGAGAGATATCTTATTTCAGTATCTCATACATAAGACAGAGATCTTATTTGTGTCTGTGATTAATGTGAGAGGTATCACTTTTCTAGTTTTAAACATGTGAGAGATATCTGATTTTCTTTATTTGATAAATAAATGTAAGAAATATTTTCCGAGAGTTGTCATATTTCTGTATCTTATACTTTTCAATATGGTTAATACACTATTCAATGGCAGAATACAGATTAATAGAAGGTGGTTAACAAATATACCCACCAATGTGACAAAACATTAATAGAAGATACCAACTATGTGTGATGTAAACAAGAAAATCTCAATGAAAGGGAAATATGTCTGAAGTTTAGCTAAATTCAATTTTTTTATCCCGGGGTAGAGATTTCTACGTATTCATCAGATGGGAGCGATTGATTTATTTTTCTCCTGCAATTTGCTACCATAAAAATATGTTGTAATGATTAAATGAATGCTTCCCGCCATCACCAAGTGTACATGAAATGTGTGCAAAACTTGATTACACTACCCTGATTAAATTGCATATGTGATGACGGGATGATAAAGCTTCAAAATAATAGCACACCAGCTGTCTTTTCCTAGGTATGTAGATAAAAGGTTTATCTTTTCTCTAGCACCTGTGATATTTGAGAGAAAAACAATCAGCGTGACGAATCAATAAATAATTAACATTCTAGATAGTTAATAGGGAGTAGTATCTATGATCATTGACCGAAAAATAGCACATTTCTAAGGTAAATCTATGATCCTACGATACAGGGTTTATAACTAGGATGACAGACCTTAGCTACCAAGTTTATTAGGATAGCTGTATACGCTGTGTCCGTTGTCCAGAACTACAGTATTCATAATATGTGACCGGTGTTGTAAAATACTAGATTGATGAGGAATAAGAATAAAAATAGTTGGAAATTCCTTCTGTGGAAACCAACATGTAATTCAAAACAATAATCCCACACATTGAGTTTTGAATGCAACACTCACAGAATGTAGATAATGCAAAACGATCTTGACAGCTGAAATGAAATCAGAGTATCTGTGCCTTGTTCCAGGCTTGTGCTGTTTGCGTGGCATGTTTCAGAAATGGTGTACACTTTCTAGCATCAACCTATCAAGTCTTTACTTAATAACATTGAAATCATGTTATAGCGTTCTTGGACAGCAATACTTTGCTGTTGGCATTCTTCTTACGAGAAGATGAATAACTGTTTTATTATTCAAATATTCTCAATCCCTTTCATAAAATCTTACCTTTGTAAAATAATTAAGAACAGCATTTACTCAGATTTTTATTTTATTTTATTCAAAAGTGGGTACTTGAACATTTTCAACAATCTATGCCTAATATATCTGTGAAAGTAAAGTTGGCATGGCATTTCATTGAATATAACATATACAATTACACGAAAGTTACATGTATTTTAAGTAACTTATCACAGTATGAGGATCAATATAACACACAAAACACGTTTCAACAAAGTAACATCTTTGGTAAAAATCATGGAGTGCATAATAAATTCGTTCAATCAATTCACGTATTCATCATTATTAACGGTATATAATCTAGGATAGACGAGATGTTAAACTAGGCTCAATATAGACATGGTATGTTACTTGAACCTGTTTAAACCGGAAACCTGTTTATTCCTAATACTGATCACATGGTGTTCACACATTCCAGGTGTACATTCATTCAGAAGAAGTTGATTTTCATCCCCTTCTTCTCTGGTTCACATATCGCTTGTATAACAAACAATGGAGATGATATTTTCATACATGATGGACATAACTTCTGATAAAAATACCCTGTCTGTGTAGGCCAAAGTTGTGTGCAGTCATTCATGTTTATCTTCCGTGCGAAGAGGTACATTATACACATAATTTGGCTTGATTAGACAGTTGCAATTGATAGCCTATGAAGTTTGAAGTGTTGCGAATATTTCTATGAGAAATTCAGTTAAAATACTTCTGTATCGTATCTACACAAAACAACTGTCATTACTGGTTTCATCACATTCCATAGGCATTCTTCAGAAAACATGGACTAAATTATCTTGCAGGACGCACATGGTGGCATTTTGTCCTCTAAAGAGAAACTGGTGGTTGGAAATCGGCCTCCCTCTTCTTCAGAGATACAACGGCAGGTGCGTCAGCTTCCCTCTTTTTCAGAGATACAACTGCAGGTGCGTCGGCTTCCCTCTTCTTCAGAGATACAACGGCAGGTGCATCGGCCTCCCTCTTCTTCAGAGATACAACGGCAGGTGCGTCGGCTTCCCTCTTCTTCAAAGATACAACGGCTGGGGCATCGGCCTCCCTCTTCTTCAGCGATACAACGGCGGGTGCGTCGGCTTCCCTCTTCTTCAGAGATACAACGGCAGGTGCGTCTGCTTCCCTCTTCTTTAGAGATACAACGGCAGGTGCGTCAGCTTCCCTCTTCTTCAGAGATACAACCGCATGTGCGTCAGCTTCCCTCTTCTTCAGCGATACAACGGCGGGTGCATCGGCTTCCCTCTTTTTCAATGATACAACGGCAGGTGCGTCAGCTTCCCTCTTCTTCAGAGATACAACGGCAGGGGCGTCTGCTTCCCTCTTCTTTTGAGATACAACGGCAGGTGCATCGGCTTCCCTCTTCTTCAGCGATACAACGGCAGGGGCGGCAGCTTCCCCCTTCTTCAGAGATACAACGGCTGGTGCGTCGGCCTCCCTTTTCTTCAGTGACACACCTGCAGGTGCCGTGGAACCTGTAAAATATAGATGATTTTTT